CCCGAAAACCCTAAACCGCAATACTAAGCCCTAAACCCTAAAACTAGACCCTCGTCTGAACCCTTGTCCGATTACAAAGTCCAGGCTCAGGCCTGACACCCTGTCCACGAAGGGACCTTGAATGTCCAAACTCTCAAACTGGGTTGTCCCTTGGGATCTTTGTTAATTTCGCCTACTATTATGTAGTTAACCATAATAGTAATAATTTTCAAAGGGCTTAAGGGCCAACTCAGCCAAACTTAAGCCGTAGACTCGCCTAACCCTGAACCCAAAGGCTCACACTTCCCTAAGCCCCTCCCCCTAACCCCAAAGACTCACAATAGCAACCCTAAGCATTGAAGCCTGCCACCCTTCAATGAAAACATAGACCCTTAACTTAAAACTTAAGAGCCCTGACCTAAACCCTAAACCGTAATCGCGCCCTGACCTAGACCCTAAACCCCAAGGGTCCCAGTACCTAATAATCATATACTTTCAAAAAATCCTAACCTACATAACTACTATCCTAAAGCCGAATACCTAATTATTGTGTCCTTTGGACCCTGGGGGAAACCGTAATCGCGCCAAGGATCAGACGAGGCAGGCACTGGGCTTAGTGAAAGAGTTCTTCGTTGGCTTCCCCGGTATCTCACGAGAAGACCGCGAAAGTGCTGGCTCATCTGTCACAGAGCACCTGGCACTCAGTTAAAAGGCTGGTTTCTGGGGCTGTTGTACGTGTGCTGTAGTTCGGTTCTGACGTTCTGCAAGCGACCTTAACGCAGCCCCACGCTTCTCTAGCAGCTGAGGCGTCGTCCTCCACGAAAGAAATCTGAAGCAGCCGATTGACGTCTCGCCATCGCGCGCATCGCGTGGAGCCTCTGCTGCAAGCCGACGAACCGGTTGTATCGAGGCCCTCCTTACGTCTTGCGCCTAAATCTGAAAAGAGGCCTTCGTGAGTCATATCGCATGTGTGGTATAAGAGGCGAGCTGGTAGTCTGGTATGGTTCAAGAAGTATTCCCCTAAGGGTCCAAGTACCCAAATAGTAGGGTTTCAAGGTCCAAAAACCATTGAGAGTATGGATTTTGGGCCCTAAAACCCTACTATTTGGGTACTTGGACCCTCTGGGATTCCTTACCAGTGGCATGTCGAAAGACACGGTTGATCAAGGTTTGGCATGAAGGCAGTGCGGTTCAGAGTTGGTTTTACGGTTCAGGTCGTTCCATGCATGCAGATAGGCAGGTGGGTAGGTCGGAGAGGTCACCTCAATGGCAGGCCTCCGAAGGGTTTTAGGGCCTGCAGTGTCCCGAGGCCGAACCCATCCGTCTGAAGCTGAATATCCTGGGCCTGGTAAACCCTAAACCCCTATATAATCTAAACCCCAAACCCTCTAAACCCTAAACCCCCTAAACCCTAAACCCCCTAAACCCTGAACCCTAGAGACCCTATAGACCCTAAACCCTCTAAACCTTCTAAACCCTCTAAACCCTCTAAACCCTCTAAACCCTAAGCCCTCTAAGACGCAGAGACTCTGAGACCACTGCAAAGCCAAAGAGCTTTGCCCAATGTCAGAGGGCGTGGGGCTGAGAGGCTCCAACTCTGTGGGCAAATGCCCGGCTACGCTCTCTGCTGTGTATATTTCCAATGTAAAGCTTAACTTTGGGCCTATAAACCTTAATCCATCTTAGCCCAAAGCCCCAGAGCTGTAAATCCTAACACCTATCCCAAACGCTACCACCCTGAGCCCGAAGCGTGAAACGTTGAGAGCTTTGGAATCCCTTATAGAAGCTTCATAGTCGTTCCAAGCCCTAAACCACTACGAAACCCTAAAAGCCTTACAGAACCCCGCGTAACCCTCGTTCAGACAACAGTACCAAGACCTAAACCCTGCACCTCCAAACCCAAAATACCAACTTCCACATCCGAAATCTTTGAACCCTATAACTTACGGACTCTAAGCCCTAAAAGGTTCCATGAACCCTGAACTCTAAACCCCAAGCTTCAAAAAAGGCTTTAAACCATTCTAAACGCTAAGCTCAAAAAAAGGCTTTAAACAATGCTAAACCCTAAGCTCTACCAAAGGCTCTAAAAAAGCTAAACCCTAAGCTCTAAGAACAGGCCGTAAACACAATCTAAACCCTAAGCTCTAAGAAAAGGCTCTAACAAAGAAATCTAAATTCTAAGCTCTAAGAAAAGGCTCTCAAAAACTCTAAACCCTAAGCTCTTAAAAGAGGCTCTAAACGACTCTAAACCCTAAGCTCTAAGAAAAGGCTCTTAAAAACATCTAAACCCTAAGCTCTAAGAAAAGGCTCAAGCTGGTCACTGCCTTAGCTTAGCACAAACTTGTTAAGCACGTCTGTCCTTGTTGGTTGTATCACTTGGAACATGTCACCTTACCGAGGTGAAAGGCTTGCTGCACATCAATCCGCGGTTGGGCAAAAACCTGCTCGTGCCGCCGGACTGCATCAAGACCAAGCGCGCCAGCGACGTCACCACGGACATGGTTGACGTCCAGCCGGCCCTGGATGAGTGCAAGACCTCCAAAAAGACCATGACAGAGCCAGGCTGGGGTAAAATTCTCTCTATGTACTTAATAACATGAACTGATGCTTGACTGCAGGTCTTTCGCCTTCTATGGCAGAAGCTGTGTTCATGCGCATCGCTTGTGTCGCAGACAATGCACGGCGAGAGCTGCTGAAGTCCCGATGGGAGGCACTAGGGCAAACATGGTTTGACATGGCTGACGTTTAAGTTCCACTGTATCATGCCATCATGCAGGCTGCCTTGGCTCAATGTGCCGCGCATACGCGGGACAACCTCGAGCATTGGGCATTTGGTCAGGACTTTCTTGCCAGTATAATGTCTTGACACATATATTGCACAGGCGTCACATGTCATTGAATGTCTTTCGTACCCCTGTTTCAGCCAAATTGGTCTGCTTGATGATTGTTCTGTTTTTCTACTTCGGAAGGACGGAGAAGTGGATCAGCAGTGGCGAGATCGCCGGAGTCTGCATCGGTGCGTGAAATTCCCAGTGGTCGCTTGTATATTACTGTGCTCCGCAGTGTCTCCTGTTTTGAAACACAACGCATATACGGCATGCTCGGGCATACCTGGTTTGATGAGGCTGATGAGGAACCCACGGCAGTGGACAAGCTGAAGGAAGGGCTTCCAGAGCCGAGGAAGAATGACATTCGCAATGGCAGCTTGGCATGAAGTTCAGGCAGACGCTGTTTACCGTAGTCCTGCGCGATTTCCTGCTGACATGATGTCCTTTTACTTGCTACGTGAGCATATGCTTGTGATGTCTACGCAGTGTTGTATTGTCGTAAAAAAAGGCTCCAACCCTCTTTGTTGTCGTTTTGATTTCCGGATTAGTGAAATGGCTGATGGAACCCGGTCGGATGCTTCCTTTCGTTGATGTACGTGCATGTGACTCGCTGTCTAAAGGTAGCTCGTGAACTTGGTGTATTTGCGTTGGAGGTATAACAGTTCATTCGCCTGGAGCAATTAGTGGCTATACATGTTTTCTGTTTCAGGGCTTCAGCTACAGGCACGAAGTGAGCGCTATGCTCCGGCCTGAACGTCTACCGTGGACGTCAAAGGCGAAACCGGTAGAAGGGCACACCTTGGATGTACCTCCCTTAGTGAGTGGAAGAAATGTGTCTGCGTCAAGGTGCACAACTTGAGTTGCCAGAATTTGGCTCTCTTGTGAAGTTTCAGGCCGGGCGTCAACGCTACATTGTTCGCTTCCGTCGACCCGACTGGAGAACTTAAAGAAGGCCCGCAGCATGTAGATTCACTTTGCATGACATCGGGCGGCTTGCTCTTATACGCAGTGTTAATTGTCCGAGTCGACAACACGTACTCTTAGGCCATTTTTGTATCTGACACACAGCAGTCGTCCAGCACAGGTAGAGTACACCTTTGAAGTCTCCATGCAGGCTGTTGCTATGTCAATGTCGGCAACAAGATCCACACCGGTCTTGTTGCGGTGCTTCGGTTGCAGTTTTCGAGCTTGGATTCCTGTGTATGACGTTTGAATGTTGTGACTTAGGTCTGGCTCTAACAAAAAAATCTAATTTCTAAGCTCTAAGAAAAGGCTCTCAAAAACTCTAAACCTTAAGCTCTGAAAAAGGGCTCTAACAAATCTAAACCCTAAGCTCTAAGAAAAGGCGTTAAAAAAACACCAAACCCTAAGCTCTAAGAAAAGGCTCTAACAAATTTTTTAAACCGCAAGCTCTAAGAAAAGGTTCCAACAAAATTTTTAAACCGTAAGCTCTGAGAAAATTCTCTAAAGAAACTCTAAACCCTGAGTTCTAAAACAAGGCTCTAAACAAATCTAACTTTAAGCTCTAAGAAAAGGAGTTGAAAAAACTCTAAACCCTAAGCCCTTATTCCTAGAGCCTGGAGCCGCCCCTGCGTGACCTTGCAATCGGAGCGCTTCCGAGACAAAGAATCCGTACGAGGGTTCTGCTTTTGCCTAAGGGGTGCTTTAGGGTTTGCTTTTGCTTATGGGAGACATTTGTTATCGGTTTTGCTTTGTTTGAGTTTTTGCTTGAGGGTGTCTTTGCAAACGGGTTTCTATGTGATTTGCTTGAAGATTCTATCGTGGTCTGATATGGTTTTAGAGGGTTGCAACAGGTTGTATTTGTATAGGGCGCTAGTGGATTTTTATACGGGTTCATGATTCAGGCCTTAATTTCAGAAACATGGTTTCAGACCGTAATTGTACCATGCGCTATAGAAGAGATGTTTGGAGTGGTGTTTTCAGACCTTCTTTGCTCGGAAAAAGCTTCTACCCCCTCCCCCCTCCCCCTAAAGCTGTGGCCTTCTGCGTTGGGATACTTAGAAATAAGTTTTAACTTTTGGTTATTATAATCCCTAAGAAACAGCTAAAATCACATTTTTTGCTAGGGTTCTAAGTTCAGTATAGTTTGAATGATTGAAATTTGCAAATACTTGCAGGACAGCAGGAGACGGCGTACCCTTATCATCAACAGACTGGGGAAGATTTTCTTCCATGCACTACCTGCAACAAGCCCGGAGCCAGAAGCTCCAAAACAAGACCACTCAACTGGAGAATCGCAAACCCCAAGGTTCCTAGGTACTGTTTTGGGGGATACTTCCCCGAATCATAATAGCAATTCCCACAAAAGAAACCTTGCATTCTGCTGTGTAGGTACTTTGGACCCTCTAGGTACCCCATGACGACGATCGTGTTTCAGAGTTCAAAACAGGACCAGCATAGCCCCACTCAATGCACGTATGACCTATTTGGCGACTACTTAGCAAATAACCTTCATCAACTTGCCTTAACCTACTGGAACCTCCCTTCTTCTAGGCGTTGTTTCTATACATCCTACCTATAGTCAGCATGGTAGTTCCTGTTTTTGCTTCAACCATTTCTATATTTAGAATCCCAACAGGGAGTCCGAAACAGGAACTACAATGGAGACTATAAGTAATATTGAATGTATTGGATCCTTTGTAAGAAAGTTCTGGTGGGTTCTGGCTACAATCCCTGCTAAGTCGGTGTAGTACTTGCCGAGCGCCCTGTAATTCTCCAAGTGCCAGCACGGGTCCAGGGTGTAGGGGGCCACTACCCGAAACCCTACATAAACCTTATCCTCGATAAGCCCAAAGCTCACACAAAGCCTTCCTTGAACCCGAAGCACTAAACACTACATTCTCTAAACACGAAACGTCCTTCAATCCTTCCTTGCCAGGCGTTGGCCGCAGCCGGACGGGGCGAGCCCGTCAAGTGGGAGGCGAAGGCTGTGCTTCCCGGAAATATTTTGCTGTTGGTTTCGGGCTTTGGGGGTGCAGGGGATGTATGGCCACACGATTTTGGGGTTCGGACTCAGAGCCCTGAGATGCCTTAAGGTTTAGATCATCGGCTTTGTTTGGTTCAGGCCGAGCCTACCTGCACTACAGAGAATCTCCCAATGGAGGTCTAGGCAGCGCAAGCCCATTCTGATACCCTATACGACTACTTCACGGATCAGGCGGAGTTGAACCCTAAACCCTAAACCGTATAAGTAGAGTTGTAAGTCTGCCGGATTTTCAGGAAGAGGCTCTACACCCAAAACCCCTAACCCCTAGACGTAGTCCTACTCATGACCTACATCCCAGAGAGACCAATACCCCTTAATTAAGGAATATGGCTTGAATTATAAAGGGCTTCATATTATGAGTTAAGCCATATTCCTTAAGTAAGGGGTATTGGGCCCTTTGGGATACTATGTATGTTCGCCTTCAATTAGTGAGCCCAAGGCCAGTCAGAGCCTACTTTTCAGCTATCCTGTCGATTCAGGTCAAATTTCACACATGGGAGTTGGGAAGAGACTGAGTCCGGCAATTGAACTGCAAAGCACTAAATTCTTGGAAAGCTTGCATTTTTTTCAGTGTCCTTCTTATGATTTTCATATGTCAACCTTGAAACGGGTACGTTGTGTTTGTTGGGTGAAGGCCATCTCTGTAAAAGTGGAAGCCGAGAGCTTAGCAGGAACAGGCGCAACCGCCTCTACTGTAAGGGTCGGAAATTTGGTAATGATATCCTCTTCCAATTCCTATCAGTATCTATACCAAAATATACGCCGCAAAACCCTGCTCTAATTATCAAGGCGATGCATCCCACCAAAGCGGCACGCATTCTCTCACTCCTATATCCCGCACAACCTAACTCCAACGCGCCGTAAAACCCTACACCCGGAATCTTACAACCCAAAAGCCCGAATCCGAATGTCCACGCTACACTCACAATAACCCAACAAGAATTTTCTACAACCAAACCTAGATTGCAGCTGGAAACCATGCAGCCCAAGGCCTGGCGTAAACTCCAAGTCCAACAAGCTCTGCCCTGAAAGCCTTAAACCCCCCAAAACGCGAACAGCCCAACAAGGCTATGTCTCATCCCGAAACCCTGGCTGAGCCTTTGTAAAATCCCTTTAAACTTTTGTTGAATGCTATAGTACCCTTGTTAAAGCTGTAGTTCCCTCTTGAAACCTCATTAGATCCTGTTTTAGAACTCTTGCTAGCGACCCCCTATAGAAACCCTATTGTCGAGCCCTCGAAGAAGTCCTATTATAGAACCCTTATAGAAACTCTTCTGTGGTCCCGGATCCCTTAACATTTTCAGGTGCAACTTGGGTATGGTCATCGAAACAACGTGAGGCCGGGTGTTGAATCCCAAAAACTCCAATATGCCTTAATTACGGAATATACCTTAAAATATAACAGGATCCCTAATATGATTTAAGGAATATTCCTTAATTAAGAGATATTGGAGTCTCTGGGATCCCCAAGCCAGGGGTCTGTTTTCGAAGCCCCGTGCTGGTCACGGCCATCTGCTTTCAGGGCTTCAGGGTATGCGATTTAGGGTTCAGGGTATAAGTATTTATAAGTAGTGTTTAGGGTATAAGTATTTAATTTATGAATAGGGTTTAGGGCTTAGGGTATAAGTATCAGTAGGGTTTTCGTTCGCACGGTTGGGTTTAGCAAGGGTTGCGGGTATATGGTTGGCTTCCAGGCCCTATAGTTGTACATCCCTCTTTTAAGCCCAGACCCTGAACTCTTAACCGCCTCTACCCAGCAACACCAAACTCCGCGAACCTTGCAACATGCGATCAGGACTATAACCCATTCCATTTTGCTTTGTCCATAACACCGAGCCCGTTCCCGATGTCCCTTTCAGTTTGAGTGTTCCCCATTAGATTGGCCGGGCATAAGATTGGAAGGGCAGGAAGACGGACACCTTTTTCGTGTCCAAACCCTGAACACTTAAACCTAGATCCAAATTCACGATACCCTTGAAGCCTAAAACCCGAACAAGTTTAGGGTCTGTGGTTCCGGGGTTCCGGGTTACCTTTGCGATGCCTTCATGAGCGAAGCCACAAGAAAGAGTGGCAGGTTTGTGGCTGTGGTAGAAGACGCCGCAGGAGCCCTACAATCAGGCATGAACTTATCGCGGAGGGTGCTATTTCAAGCATAGGGTCGTCAAAGACTTCGCAATGTTGCCAATGCCAACCCGGCCATGTAACCCTGCAGCCGCCCGAGACGTGGCGGATGCATACATTTCCCGAGAAAACCCAGAGGCTCGAATATTCCCTTCTCGATGCGAGCCCGGGCGCGGTGATAGCGTTCGAGATTCAGAGACGAGGGCAGGGTTTCCGAGCCTCACGAAGGACCCCCTCACGGCGAGGGTTTAGCCTACGTCCTGAAGCTTGCTTCCTGCATCAGTCTCCGCATGGCTCTAACAGTTTGGATTTTTGGAGATAAAACAAACCTTGGGGTTCAGGGCTTCAGAATCCTGATTTAGTGTACAGAAACAAATGTATAAACAGCCCTAGTAGTAGTAACACTTATATCTCTATTGCCTGGGTTTGACGATAGCAGGACCTGCCAGCTCTTGAACAGACATGTTTGGCTCCAGTGGATGCAATCCTCTTCGTTTTTTGGCTTAGCCATGTGTGTGCGGAAGCCCGGCTGGAGACGACATGGAGTTGAGGGTTCAGCGTATTAGGGTTTAGGGTTTTAGGGTTTAGGGTTTTAGGGTTTTAGAGTTTTAGGGTTTAGGGTTTAGGGCCTAACACCTGGCATCCCGTTCCCTGAACCGGCAAGTTCCTGAACTTAGGTCAGTACGCAGCTTCTCGCCGTGCACCAGCCGGATGCTCAGACATTCCTTCTTTCCTTACAGATGTGCCCAAGTGCCTTGGAAGTAGTCCCTATTTACGTACTTTGGGGCCGAATTATATGGGTGGTTATCAAAATTAGGGTCCCCTTTTGGCGGCACCTACGTAATATTTAAGGTACTCAAAAGGGGCCTCAATTTAACCATGTATCTTTATGGTTTGGCGGTGAGCATAGACCCAACGGGCCTCTGCACCCAACCGACACCCCAAGCCTTGAACACATAACGCGAGAAAAGCCCAAACCAAGTTTTGGGGACTCCTGGGGCATAAGGACAAGTGGAATCCCAAGAAGACGGCACGACTCTAAACTCTAAACCCTCAACGTTACGGTATAAGCTCGAGAAGAACGAGCTGTTAGACCACTTGCCGAATCTTCACAGTAGAACTACTGTTGATGATATAAAGCCTGCATTACCTTAAGGACCCTAAACTATTGGAATTAATGGTATATTCCTTATATTGCGTAATGCAGGATTTATGTCATCAACAGTAGTAGAGCCCGGTTTGGGTACGCAATGGTTCGGAACCCCAAAGCTCCGCAACCCCCAAAACCGGTACGTAAACCCAAAGCCCCTGAAGCCCTCAACATATTTGGGAGTTTCCGAAAATAGAGGACTCTACTATAGTACCCTAAATAGTAGGGTCCTTATCATAAAGGCCCCCAAATTAAGGTACCCCTAATTTTCGGAAACTCATATTTCCATTCCGGGGGACTGTACGCGTGCGCCAGGCATCCCAAGTGCTCCTTCGGGACCTCCTGGAAGGCCGGCCCCCTAAACCCTAAACCCCTAAACCCTAAACCCTAAAGGAGTTTAGGTTTAGGGTTCAGGGCTAGGGTCTCAGAGTTGAGTTACTATAATAGTGTCTACTATTTGCTTAAGAACCCCCAAAAAATAAAAGGTTATAATCCCTATATTACCACCATAAGGAATATATTTTTTTTTATTTTTTGGTGGTTCTTAAGCAAATAGTAGTAATAGTGTAGGAACCTGATTAAGAAACCATGCGCCCTTGGGTTCCTTAAACGAATCCTACTATTTTGGGGTCTTTGACCCAAGGTTTCTTAATTAAGTAGATATATCTATAGTTACCTTACTTATAGCCCGACTTAATCACTGAGTCCCGTGATCCTCCAAGTATAGGGTTTAGGGTTATGAAAAGTGCTGTTTGCTTAGTAGTGACGGTTGGGAGTAGAGTCAGGGGTTAGGGCCTTGGGTGAGTAAAGCCGCTCTTAGTTAAGTGCGAGAAGGGCTTCCGAATGTTGTTCTGCGGGTTTCAGGTTTTCGTTTCTTGTTTAGTTTGCATAATATAGCTTTGGGGGCCTTGCTCAAAACCCGAACTCCAAACTTCAAAGCCCAAACCCTAAACTCCGAGCTCTAGCCATAAACCCAAACCCCGCCTTCACCCCGAATTACACGAAAAGGTAGGCTTATGGAGGTCCAAGTAAACTTTACACCTAAACACTCAACCCTAAATCTTACACCCTGTACCCTACACCCTAAATCCTAAACCCCAAATCCTGAACCTAAACACGGAGGGATTCTGTCTGTTACTGCAGACGGAAAACGGCGTTCATCAAACAAAACGCCCTGGAAGACCTGAGCCGGCAGGCTTTCAACCACCTTACACTACCTACCCTAAACTCTAAACCCCGAACCCTAAACCCTATGCCCACCTGGGCAGACGAAAAAGAGGGATCAACAAAAAATCAAAAACCTAAACCTAACCCCAGACCCTAAACCCTAACCCCAGACCCTATACCCTAAATCTAGACCCTATACCCTAAATCTAGACCCTAAACCCTAAATCCTGTTGAAACCCACCTCCGTCGCCAGGCTTTCAACCAGCAGCATCAGGGTCGCAGCCACCGGGCCCTGGTCTGGTCAGTCCCTGAGATTCCCAGAGCCTCCAATACCCCTTAATTAAGGAATACCTAGGGTTCCTTTAAGGGATCTATAAGGGATCTATAGGGTTTAGGGTTTAGGGGACTCCAATATCCCTGAATTAAGGAATATATGCCTTAAATCATATAAGGGATCCTATTATAATTTAAGGTATATTCCTTAATTAAGGGGTTTTGGAGGCTCTGGGTTCTGCAGTTGTTGTTCTAAAGGTTTTACTGTAGCGGCCTTAATAATCAGAATAGGGTTCCATTAGGGGTTCCTTTTAATGCGGGTCTATAAGGGGTACTTATGGGGGTTTACCGCAGTTTTTGTTTAGGGTTTAAGTGGTTCCTAAAGGTCTCCTTTAAGGGATCTTGAGGATTCTATAAGAGTTTTCACAAGGGCGTTTGGGTCTTAGTGGTTCCTACAGTCTTTAGGGTTTGGTCTGCTGTTTTTTGTCAGGGTTTTGGTGAATTTCCCCCAGGCGTCGGTTATCTTTAGGTTTCCTGAAGGGGTTGTAGTGTTTCTTGGAGGGCTCCTTCAGGGGATCTTGAGGGCTCGAAAATGATTCTATAAGTTTTTAGGATGTTGGGGAGGGTTTGGGGTGTTGGGCTTCGGGTTTAGATTTTAGGGTTCAGGGTTGAGGGATTTACGGTTTGAAGTTTAGGGTTTGGATTTGAGGGCAGGTTTTCGGGTTGGGTGTTTAGGGTGTGGTTGTTGGTGTTTCGGGTTCAGGGTGGCTTTCGTTGATTTCTGGCCTGGTTGTTGTTGTTTCGGCCCTTGTTTCTTGTTCGTCTCCTTGGAGTTAACGTATGGGCTTTCATAGTTAGAATAGGGTTTCGGGTCCATTATACCATAATCAAATGAAGAATTTTCACAATAGTATTGGTAGTTATTCAAGCCCCTGCAGTATTGGTGTCCAAACAGCTCAAGGCTTAAGGCTTGGAGTGTAGTGTAAAAGGATCCTAGATGCGTATGGTGCCGAGCGTTCCAAAAGTATGCGGAATTCCCTGGGTAGAACGCCAAACCTTAGAACCCTCAACACCGGACCCTGCCAACATGGAACAAGCAACAGCCTCAAACAGTCAAGCCCAAAACCCCTCATACAACTCCCAAAACCACAATTACACAATCCCTATTCCAGGAAGCCTAAAAGCCTTAACATCCTCGACCCTTACTTTCCGTTGATGATATAAAGCCTGCATTCATTGCCTTGAGGACCTTAAACTACGGGAATAAAGGTATATTTCTTATTATGGGTAATGCAGGGTTTATATCATCAACCGACTTAGTATTTAGGGTTATAGGTAATGCAGCTATATATAGTTATATCTACTTATAGCCAAAATTAAGGTACTTATAACCTTACTTACTAAGTCCCATGATCCTCTAAGTAGACCCTAAACCCTAAACCTATAGATCCCTTTAAGGAGCCCTATAGATCCATGTATGAAGCTCTTTAAGGAACCCTAATTACTAAGTCCCATGATCCTCTAAGTAGACCCTCAACCCTAAACCCTTATAGTAACTCCTATAGATCCCTTAAAGGGACCCTATAGATCCTTACTAGTACTTACTAAGTCCCCTGCTTTCAAGACCCAAAGTACCCCTGTAGATCCCTTAAAGGGACCCTATAGATCCTTATAATACTATAAATTGAAATCATATTAGGGAACGCTAAAAAGGTAGGTTCCTTAGGGTCCAGGTATTTAAAGACCCAAAGTCAGAGATCATTACCTTAAGGTCTGTAAACTATGGGAACAATGGTATATTCCTTATTATGGCTAAACCCTGAACGAAAAAAACGGAGACTCGTAAAAGCCAAAAATGTCAGAGATCCAGGTGCCGCTTCCTCTTGGGACTCTTTCTTCTCGTGGGTGCCGCCTCGGCCGGGGACACCTGGTGTAAGGCTTCGGTTTAGGAGTTTGGGGTTTTTTGGGTTTAGGACTTATGGGGTTTTGGGGTTTAAGAGGTTCGGTTTAGGGGTTTAGATTGTATGGGGTTTAGGGGTTTTGGGTTTAGGAGTTTAGGGTTTAGGAGTTTGGGGTTTAGGAGTTTTGGGTTTAGGAGTTTAGGGTTTAGGAGTTCAGGTTTTAGGAGTTTTGGGGGTTTAGGGTTTGGAAGTTTAGAGGTTTAGGGGTTCAGGGGTTGGAGTTGGGGGTTTAGGGTTTGGCATGGTATTTCAATGAGAAGGAAATGTACCTGGAAAGGCGTTGCCCTAAAAGCAGGTTTCTGCGCAGAAAGTCCTCTCCGGCCAAGACATTCAGCCTTTGAGTGCTTTGGCCCAGAAGGGATAGTAATGTTGTTCAATGGGTTCAGCTGGTTCATGTCGCACGGGTTTTTGGACCCCAGGCACATTTTTATGACTATAGATTTATGTAGAACTAGAGTCTAGAGACGGAGATAGACACGTCTTTGGCGGTTAAGGTTCGCTCAAGATGCATTTCCAGCATAATTTCTTTTCAAGCCTTATCAATAGACCCTACGCCCTCCCATTTAGAACTTAAGGGTTTAGGGCCAAGGGAACACTTACTGGGCTTTGGAATACCATACTTTAATCCTTCTTTCTTAAAGGAGCCATTATAAACCGAAAGTTTATGCTTTTCTCTCCCTGGTTACTCAAAAAAGCCCAGCTTCGAAGCATGCGGCCACATGTTGGCAACTGCGAGCTTCAAACCTGGAACCATAAAGGGAACTCCAGAAAGTTGGAATATGGAATAATGGCAGGATCCCCTATAGTTTACCTTAAAGGGATTATGATAATGATATTCCAACTTTCCGGCTTCTACTGTAGTGTTTCCTAGATCCCCAATACCTGACCTTTAAACCTTTTGGGTTCTTGTTGTTTGGTATCGGAAAGTTTAACATTTTTTTTCTGTGGCTTATTGGGGTAGTAAGGTGTTTCGGATCCAGTGTGCCTGCATGCATCTTTGTAGGAGACGACGGACCCTACCCTCAGAGTCCAAAGTAGCTAGCTACATAGTAGAAGGTACGATCGCTACATACACAGTTTCGCAGCTGGAATTTTCATACAGTTTAGCTAAGCATCACCCCCCCGCCCCCTTCTAAGTGTTTCGGCGACTGTTTCGGGACCGTTAGGGTAAGTGGAAGGTCTATGCCGTGTACCAGATGTTGGAGTCCCGCAATGTCAATGTCAGGAGGTGCCTTCCTTCGGCTGTTGTTGGGTGGAAGGTTTTTTGGGGAGCAGTTGTTCGTGCTTTCTGTGTATGCAGATTGGGGTTTATGCAGTATCACGGGGCTTGGCCGAAATTTTGTAACGTTGCACCATGTTTTCAATGTCTGTTTCTTGCACTTTGCGCTTGAGGGCCGATGTAAATAACTATAATCCACGGGTGTCTGTACTTCTAGGCGCCGGGCCAGTTCCAATCATACTGATGCCTTTACACTGGTTGGAGTGAGTTCTTCGCGCAGCACGCAAGTTACATATACAGTAATGCAAATGCCCCTGCCCCAACCGCCCCCGCAGTCCTTCTTCTGAAATTAGGTCAGATTATCATCTGATGCTTGATTGGTAGGCCACTATCTGTATGTACAGTTAAGAACAGGATTCCTACTTCCAGCCACGGCTATGCAGATGCTTGAACAGCAACTGCCAACACACGAAGCAAGACGTCATGAAGCCACACATGCCTAAATATGCCTAAACTAAACCCAATTTATAGACCGATACCTGACATCCCAAGTCAGCCAGTGCAGATATCTGTTCGTCGCCAGGTCGTTTCTTTGGTTCTGTCGTGTTCTTTAGAACAAGATGTGCGAGATTTAAGCTATGTGTGCTCGCGAGTTCAGGCCTTGGAATTTGGGGTCAACATGTGTAAAGGCTGGCCAGAGGAAGCCACAACATGTGATTTGAATTTCAGGACCCGGGTCATGCAAGGGTCATTGAGTTGCATCCTCAAACTTGCCATGCGCTGCTTTTGTCACGGTATTGCACGCATAGGTAGTCTGCAAAAGGCACTGTGGTCGTGCCACGCTTAGCGGCTGCAACGACGAATAATGCTGCCGACGGCGACGACGACCACCACGACGACTACTACCTTACTACTAATGCTATGCCCTTTCAAGACAAGACAGGTTTCACATGGTCGTGATCATCAAGTTCTTCCTGCAGGACCTTAGCAGCTGAGTGGATCCACTTTACACTTTTTGGTATAATACTACCCACTACAAAACTGAAAGTGTGCACTTTTTTTTTGGGGGGGGAGGGGCTTTTGAACTCAGCAACTAAGATATTACCCTTATAGTAGCCTTTATAGAACCCTTTAAAGGAACCCTAAACCCTAAACCCTAAACCCCCCATAAGGGACGGAACCGTCGAACTTTGGCGTTTACGGCGCAAGCCGAAAGTTCAGGATCCTGGTCCCTAAACCCAGTGAGCCCCTAATCCCCAAGGAATACCTAGGGTTCCTTAAAGGGCTCCTTAAAGGGATCTATAAGGGGTTCTATAAGGGAACTAAGGAAGATGGCTTAAACTGTATAGAGCCTCATATTATGATTTAAGCCATATTCCTTACTTAAGGGGTATTGGGCTCTCTGGGAAGGGCTTTGCACGAGCTTCGTCATGAAAGGGATCCGCCTAAGATAGCAACTATCGTTATAGTTATGCGAGAATAGACCCAAGTTCCGATTAATTATCAGGGCAGTGGCTTAAGGAATTAGTCGCAGCCTACAGCGGCTTTATACCATGAATACTTTGGATGTTTATGGGGTTCAAGGTTATACCGATGTTAAATGCTGGAGCCGTGAAGAATGACCCATGATTCAGGCCCCCGGAGCCTGTCTAAAATCTGGATGGCTGCTTGGCTTTTGACGGCGGTTTCTGCCTCGATTGGCCCACCCGTACCGCAGAAAGAACAACCAGACATACTATACCCCGGGCAAACAACACATATTCTGTAAGCATTGCAGAAGGTGCACCATGGGCACTTGGCCGAAAGACAAGGGTCAACGAGCGGGCTCGCCTTTGCGTTTTGCTATTTCTGCTTTGGCTTGTTGGGGGGTAAACAAGTTGACGCACCTGAACCCAGTGAGTGGCGACAGGATGCACCTCAGCAGACGTGCTTCGTGCTGTACCTCTTTGGCTGGTACGAGGCAAGATGCGACCTAGACGTGCTTGCATGCATTCGTGCAAACGTGTACACTTGTGTCTGTCTGTCTGTGTGTGTGTGTGTGTGTTTGTCCTTCCGCCCGTCTGTCTGTCTGTCTTTTGTTGCATGTCACTTTGTATGTAGATGTGTTTGTATGTAGGTATGTACTATGGCAGGCGATTTGCAGGTAGGTAGGTGGGTACGCATGTTGTGGGTCGGTAGGTGGGTAGGTGAGGTAGGCAGGCGAGTAGGGAGGCAGGGAGGTACATTACATTGGCAGTAGGGTAGGGTTGTAGGACATTGTACGTAGGTGGGTACAGGTATGTACATAGGTAGGTAGGTAACAGGTAGGTAGGTTGCTAGGTACGCACGTGCATACGTAGATGGTAGGTAGGTAGGTGGGTGGATAGGCATGTAATTACGTACCTGTGTACGTACTCGCAGATGTAGCTATGTCATGCATGCATGCATGCATGCATGCATGCATGGATGTATGCATGTGTGTATGTATGTATGTATGTATGTGTGAATGTATGTGTGCATGAACGTGTGCTGTAAGCCATGCATGTATGCATGCATGCAGGCAGGCAGGTAGACAGATGCATGCATGCATGTAGGTAGGTAAGTAGGTAGGTATGTATGGGTGTATGTATGTAATTACATATGTGGGTAGGTCTGTCCAACAACTCGTTCCAGCCGTAATGGACCCTTCAAGAATCCGTTGCAGAACCCTATGAAGACATCGTGAGACCATGAAGCACGCACGACAAGAGTGTAAGCATAGGATGGAGAGCCTATTGTTCAAGTTTTCTCTATTCCTGTGCACTCCCAGTTTGCCAGTCGCACTTGGGTGTCTAGGTCGAGTCTAGGTGCTTCAATTTCGGTTGTAAGCAATTGCCACACTGACCGTTCCCATACCGCGACTTAAATGCCCTGATCTGATAACTAAGCCAGAAATCCTGGACCTGTAACCCCAAGCCCGGACAACAATCGTATAAGACCCTCCAGTTCAAGGGAATGTTCCTTATGTGAGGGTTGTCTGGTCCATCAGCCAAAGGGTAAAAGGAGGGACCCCTAATAAGGACCCCTGGCTATATACCCATAATATAGCCATTATATACCCATTATATAGCCCATTATAGGGTAGGGGTCCCCATTAAGTTTCCCTCCTTTTCCCCATTTGAGGCAAGCGGACTCCGTTGCCAGCTTTGTCTCTTCGACTCGGCGCACTGCAGTGGCTGTGGCTGCTTCAGGCATACCCAAAGGCCCCAAAGTAGTTCCTTTTTGGGGTCATATATAGATTTCTATTAGGTAATCCCAAAAAGGAACTACTTTGGGGCCTATGGGTACTGGTAGGATTTGTTGGGAGAGCCTCAGCCGCCTTTGCCAAAAGGTCCTAAGTAGAGGTACGGCGTACGACTCTTGTTTCTTATCGTCTGTCTGGGTCGCTTGATCTTTGAGGCATCGAAGTTGGCTCATCTTCACTTTGCAATGTGGCTGATGGTACGAATACTGTGATTCAGAATCTTCGTTTACTTTTTTGAGAATCCCGAGGCGTGGTTGGCTATCGAATGAGAGAGTGAATGGCGGGATGAGGGGTGCGAATCACCATTCATATATCCTTAAGATTAAGACCCCTATATAGAAATCCCAAGCTGGGCTCCATTCAAGCCCTTCAACCCCTTAAAACCTTCAAACCCTTAAAGCCCTCAAAGACCCTTAGCAACCCTAAACCCTCAAAACCCTTCAAACCCTTAAAAACCCTCAAAGACCATAAAAACCCTAAACCCTCAAAACCCTTCAAACCTTCAAACCTTCAAAACCCTCAAAAACCCATCAAAACGTTAAACCCTGCTTAGGTGATGAGGATCCCTTGGAGCCCCCTAGCACCCTAAAAACCTTAAAACCCCCTAAAACGCCCTTAAAAACCCCCAAGCCCTGCTTAGGTGATGAGGACGGGTTCCACTTTGCCAACATCGTCTCCATCGGACCGGGCTCCCGGTCTGGCAGTAAACCTACCCAGACCTTCCCAGAGACTCCAATATCCCTAAATTAAGGAATGCCTAGGGTTCCTTTAAGGGATCTATAAGGGATCTACAGGGTTTAGGGTTTAGGGGACTCCAATATCCCTTAATTATAAGGAATATGCCTTAAATTATATTAGGGATCCTATTTTAATTTAAGGTATATTCCTTTATTAAGGGATATTGGAGTCTTTGGGTTCTAGGTTCCCGAGTAGTACCCTTCTGCCCTTTTTTTTTAGGGTCCCCTTATTAAAACCGAATAGTCGCAAAAAGGGTACCCTTAATATAAAGGGGCTACTCCGGAACTTAGTCTTCCAAAATCCCTTAACTAAGGAATGTATTGCAGATATGTAGCGAAGTATGCAAGCCCAGATGTGATATCCTCAGCCCTCTATGAAGGTGCATCTCAGATAGAGCCTGCTCCTCACACTTTGAAACTCGCACCCTAAACCGTGGGCGTAGTGAAGTCGCTAGAGCCTCCAAGTTTTCCGGCTTGGGGTCGCAAGCTTCGGCTTTTTCAGTTTCGGGCAGGGTCTTGGGGGGGGGGTAGCGGTTTAGGGTTGAGGACTCTTAGATCCAAGGGGAAAAGGAGGGACCCTTAATGGGGAGCCCTACCCTATAATGGGCTATATAATGGGTATATAACGGCTATATTAAGGGTATATGCCTAGGGGTTCTTATTTAAGGGCCCCTCCTTTTACCCTTGGAGTAGAATTTTAAGGTTTGGGGTTGAGGGCTCGGGATCTTCGGGTTTGGGAGTTGGGGTTGTAGTGCTTGGGTTTCAGGCTCTAGGGCTCGGGAGCAGGGCCCTCTCACCGTGAGGCCGAAACTTTAAAACCCAAGCCCCAAACCCTAGTCACTGGGTTTAGGGTTTACCTGGACCCCAAAAGTATGAAAAATCATAGCTTTTTTAGGTTTTGGGCTATGGTTTTACCTACTTTGGGGTCTAGGTAGGGGTTTCGGTGTATATACTTTGGCCTTAAAGTAGCCCCTATATGGGCACTGTATGGCTTAAGTATATACTAATGGCACATGAACCTGAGGGACAATTCCTAGATCTGATCTCTTATGACTGGAATGAGATCACTCCCTTTACGAAACCCTTCCGAAGCCTTAATCTAGCTGAGAAACCGCACGAAGAGGTCACGGCAGCCCAAAAGCACATCGAGCCAGATGTCGCAAAACAGGATGCATCCTCCTCTCTTCGTTGGCGAATCAACTGCTGATTCGGCCTGCGAGAAAGAGGACCACATGGCGTGTAGTTCAGGGTTGCGGGCGGTTTTGTTGGGTATCTCGGGCGGTTCAGGATTAAGTGAGCCATTACCGTCTGGTTCTTAGCAGGGAATGGGGGACTGAATGCTTATAGTAGTCTCTATATAATCCCCAACAATCGTCTCCATAATCCATTTCCCCTTTCCCTACTAAAAAGTTGGAAACCGGATTAAGGCCAACTAGTGCTGGGATTCCCTATCCATTACTCTTAAGGGTTGAGGCTAGTGGGTTTCCAACTTTTGGGCTTCTACTGTAAGCAGAGCAAACCCTTAGACCTGAAAGGATCCGTCTAAACCCTAAACCCTTATAGTACCCCTATAGATCCCGTAAAGGTACCCCTATAGATCTCTTTAAGGAGCCCTTTAAGGAACCCTACTAAGTCCCATGATTCCCTACCAAGAACCAGACAGAGTAGTTCCGAACAGACACGAAGGATTCTTCCTTAGGGACTCCGAGTCTCTAGGTGGAGGGTTTAGGGTTTAGGGGTTTAGGGGTTAGTGTACAGAAAGGCTTGGAGAAGTGAAGCTGTAGCTTGAGGGCCCATGTGTGTGTGTGTGTTTGTGTGTATGCGTATGCAGCACTTGTCCGTTACTGAAGGCTTCCGGGAACCTACTTGTAGCAACAGGGAGTGACTAGCTCTTTGTGATGCGAGGGTACTTTACGAGTGTGACAACCTTAAATGGGTACTTGCAGATCAACTTACCACCTACTCACTACGCGAGTCTGATTCGTCAAGTGGCTTTCGCGCATGCGGATCCTATACATAACCCCAAAACTAGAAATGGTAAACCCTGAAGTCAAAGCCCTTGAAAGTATGTGTCCCAGAACACCGCCAACCGTCTTGCTGCAAACTTGCCGTCTCGAGCCTAAACACCCGCAGGAAAGACATACTAAAGAACTATAGCCTAAATCTTAAGCCCACGGGCAATACATTCTCGACAGTTTAGGCCGCAGACCATGAAACAAGGGCTGAGCCGGTTTCCTGGAGCCCGACAGAAGCTAATGCCCTTGACATTGGTTCCACATTCCAGGTAGTCCATCTTTTCTCAAAGTGCTATGAAACGACGAGAACGAACTCTGGACGCCAATTGCCAGGAAGTACACGGAGGATGACATTTGCATGCAGCTCTGGATACGGATTGGCGGTACGTGCCGCTGCTGCAGGGACATCGACGCTGGTTTGGATGGAGGGTTTGAGGTTGAGGGTTTAGCGTTTACAATACGCCGTGTTGGAGTTTTGTTAGGGTTTTACAGGCTTAAGTAAACGACTCATAGGATTGGGCTCATAGAGGTTTCAGGGCTTAGGGATTCCAGTTTTCGATTTCGGTTTGGTGGTTTGAGCTTCAAGGCGGGTCATCGGCCGGCTGTGGAAGCGTGGATGATGTAGGAACCTGATTAAGAAACCTTGGGCCTTTTTTAGCGTTCTTTGTATGAATCCCTCTATTTTGGGGTTATAGGCCCAGGGTTTTTTAGGTCATACTGTGTAGCTGCTTCCTCTGGGCGTCTACGTCGTTCCACTGCCGCCATATCCGCATGTCTATGTGCCCGACGTCAGTGCGGACACCCTCTTGCCTCCCTAAACCCTAAACCCTTTGGTCCCTGGGAGTAAAGGCTCCCGTGAGTTGTGCCGAGCGCTTGTGGAGCCTCCAATATCCCCTAATTAAGGAATATACCTTAAATTCTAGTAGGATCCCTTGTATGATTCAAGGACTATTCCTTAACTGTGGGCACGAGAGTCCGCCACGGAACAGAACGGATAAACCCTAAACCCTTAAACCCTAACCCAGAGAGCCCAATACCCCTTAAGTAAGGGATATAGCTTAAATCATGATATGAAGCCCCATATAATTTAAGCCATGTATTCCTTAATTAAGGGGTATTGGGCTCTCTGGGAAACCCTAAGCGTCAACGCCAAAGACCTAAAAACTTCACCCTTTGAATCTTTCCGGGTTGTCCGCAGTGCAGGGTCGTTGTGGGTTGCAGGGTTTGTGCTTTTGGGTTTAGGGCAGTTTAGGGTTTTGGGTTCAGAGTTGATGGTTTTTGGGAATCGTTTCCTGCTACGCTTCACATGTAAAAGCGTCCGCTGCTCCCCTTAATATGGGGGCCTAAATAAGTGCCTATACTATTTTGGGGGTTCTTTATTATATTTATAGTATAATGGGCCCCCCAAACCCTATTCTAATTATTAAGGCCCCTATATTAGGTGCGTGGCCGCCTTGCCCTTCACGACCGGCCTGTGCTTAGCTTCAAGGCGCGTCGGTGGGCCTTTCAAGCCCTAAGAAATCTTATGCGGCTTTGAGATATAGGATGGCAAAACTGATAACTGTCCTCGTCATGCATAATAGAGATATAGGGGTCCTGATAATTCGAAAAGGGCTGGAGACGCAGCGTACAGTAGAGTGTAATCATGCAGGGACGTTGAGGTGATACTATTCCTAATCATTCTGCCATTTTATGACACGTCGAGTCAATGCCCAGCCTAGCCCTCACGCTGAAAAGGCTCGGCCGTTTTTATTCCAATCTGTGAACGTTGAAAAATGTGTTACCCTTAGACTCTAAACCCTAAACCGTGCCATGGGTTATGAGTTGTTGTTTCAGCTTCGTCCCCAATTCGTGCGATTTGTTTGCAAGTCCACGGAAGGTTCGTTTACCCATATCTCCATGGCGCCGAAACCAGCCTACTCTGGGTTTGGAGTACCATACTTGACTACCTTTTTTTGGTACCTGCTCCTTAAAGGAACCACTATGAAATCAATGTCCATATTTTTCTCCCTGGTTACTCCAAAGTCCAGCTGTCATGTCGACAACATCTGACCATTTAGGGTTGGGTGCAGGTTTTAGAGTAGAGTTTTTCTCATTTTCCAATAGCCAATCTACAAGCATTTGCGTTCTTACAATCTTACAGTGCTGGACCAACCTGAAAATTTAGCCTTCAATCTCCATGGGTCTTTAGGAAGAAGGTGTTTAGAACTTCAGTGTTTGAGGGTTCACAGTTGCTGTAAACCCTCCAACTTCAACTATGGAACTGTTGTACTTTAAGTTTGACTCAGTGGGGCCAAAGCACGTTGGGATTTGTGAAAACCCTTAAACCCTAAACCCCTAAACCCCTAAGCCCTTAAACCCTGAACCCTACACCCTAAGCCCCAAACGGTTTGTCCTGCTGCAGGGATTCCCAAAGTTTAGGGTTTCGGGCCGCAGACCCTTCGGGCTTGGGACGCTGGAGCTCTAAGGTTCAGGGTACATTGAGGGGTTGAAGGGTTTAGGGTTTAGGGGTTCAGGGTTTAAGGGGTTAGGGTTTAGGGTTTAATGGTTTAGGGGTTTAGGGGTTTAGGGTTTAGGCTATTCGGGTGAGCTTCAGTGTAAATTGAGCGGATAATGGCTTCAATGGTTCAACAGCCTCTCTTCTCACGGATTCTACCTTTTGGTTTGAGCCGTTATATCCCACAAAAGCCTCCCAAAGCCATTTAAGCCCTGTGAACGCCTTAAGCTTGCTTGAGCAGGAGTCTCTTATCCTCCCCCACGCTGGTACACTTGCTGTTCGCAGTGCCCTGCGTGTTGGGCTGGATGAGCATTTCAGGACACTCGGGGTGAGGGGCACGGTTTACAGACGGGTTTGCAACTTTGGGACGTCGTGCATTTCTTGCGCGGGAACTTCGAGATACGTCTCTAAGCTGACATTGGGCCTCACTTGCACCCGAAACATTCCGACCAAACGCAAAGCCCTTATGCCGAACCTTGGACCCTGAACCCTGGAAATGTAATCTGGACTCCCATATCCTCCAACCCTCAAACCTTTCTTAAACCGTAAACCCTAAACTCCAAGACCCTCAACCCGAAAACCCTAAAGCCTCGAATTCGGTCCCATACGCCCTTACAGAATACCGGGTTGTTGGAGGAACCGAGCAGAGGATGTCTCGGATCTTGGGCCCTTCCTGCTTTAGACTTTGATGATGGAGGTGCCTAAGGTTTAGAGTTTTCAGTCTGTGAGTTAGGGTCCAGTGTCTAGGGTACAAGATGTATCTTATTTCAGAAAATTTCAGTTCAATTCCGAAAAGTATGTTTTGTATTGTGTAAGGTGTAACGCTTAGGGTTTTATGATATCTAGTGGGCCAGGCTTGGTGACTTGAGTTCTGCAACTAGACCATGGAGGTTCATTGGACTTAGTAAGTAGAGCTATCAGTCAGGTAACTAGAGCTATGTCTGTATCTACTCCTAACCCTAATTAGGGTACTTACAACCCTGCTTACGAAGTCTGATGACCCTCCAAGTAGAGCGTACCATGCAAACTAAAGTCAACGACACTGTCTGGCTCCCAACATTGTTTTTGGGGTTTGGGGTTAGAGGTAGGTCAAGAGATTTCTGTAAAGTGCCTAAAGGCATAAGGTTTCCGACCGATATTTGTTCAATAGCCAATGTTCCTGCAGCTATATGACCTTACGTGCTGGTGCTATGCTTAAGTACAACATTGCCCTTTCGTCGACATTCATTTGACAGCATGTTGGCCTCGCTGCGCAGCGACACACGGCTTCCACTCTTTGGCTCAACAGGGTTTGGGATTTCGTGTGCAGTGAAAGCCCTTTGCCCTTGAAACCTCAGTCTTGGGCAAGTTTGCCTAAACAGATCTAAACTCGATATATTTACTACCGCTATAGAAGTAGATCCCATGAGAGGGATGGGTTTTCTGGGGATGACTACACCGAAAGATTCATGTCGACGGTATATCAGTTAGCCCCGAACCTCACTCATGTAACATTCATACGAGGCTTAGCCTGCAGCCCGGCTCGAAGGGCAAGCCTTAAACCCCGAAACCCAGTAGGCCTAAAGCCGAAGTGTTGAATAGTCCTATTTACACCCTAATCCGAAACTCCTTCTTAAACCCACCAAGTATCGACGAGAGGACTCCCAGAAGCTAAGACCTTAAGCGCTGATTTTATTCTTTTGCCATGGCGTCCTCGCCAGACGCATCCTCGAAAGAGGCGCTCGCCGCGCGATGTGATTTGTTTTGAGGGTTTAGAGTGTGTGGTTGCAGGTTGTTCGGCCTTTCAGTGCGCTGCATGCGCAGGTTCTTGGCAAGGTCAGTTGTTTTTTCGATGGGAGTTGATGCTGCCTTGCCCGTAATTACTATACGGTTGATGGTATAAACCCTGCATTACCTTAGTGACCCCAGACGATGGGAATTATGGTAATTACATTCCTTTTTATGGGTACTGCAGGGTTTATATCACCAAGCTAGACCCCCAAACACTAAAACGCTATAGATCCCTTACAGGAGCCCCTTAAAGGTAAGATAAAATGTTCCTTTAAGGGAGCCCCAGGATGTATATCACCAACCGTAGTATGCGACTTAGCACATGGATGCATAAACCAAGACACTTTCAGAGTATCCCGATGCCTTCTGACGTTTTTACAAGACATGGACTCCGTACTGTTCGGGTAATTTCGTGCAAACTACACACCTCCCCGTTCCTTTAGAAAGTCGCATGTAGGAACTCCGCACAACAATCTTTAAGCATAAATCTACCCTAAACACTAAAACAAACCCTACACCCTATCTCGCGAATGAAATCGTAATACTCCGTTCTACAGCTTCAACTTTTCGACCCTGAACCCGTTTATCAATCCATAAAACCCTAAACCCCTCCAACAGCTTTGAGTCGAAGGGCGCCGAGCCTGACGACAGCGCTGCATCCTCCGGCGATGGAGGTGCTCGTTTTCAGATTTCTTTGGAGGTCTCATTATGGGGGTTTAGGGTTTAAAGGGAGGTGGTCGTCTTTAGGATTTTGTTGAAGGTCTCACTTCAGGGGGTTGAGGGTTTCGAGCTTTGTGATACACCTAGGGTTTGTTTGGGTTTTAGTCAGTCGGTTCTGTGTGGCTGCTATTCAACCTGTTGCCAGCATTCTGTCTCTTGTGACAGCTTTCACCAGACCTTTCCGACAAACTACAAATTCCCGAAAAAGATCCTACCACCCGTATGGATCAACAGAAATCCGTGTCAAGGTATCCATCCTGTGGATCCTTTAAACGTCCTGCGGCCCGCATTCTGCATAGCAGTTTGTTTTGTATCTGACAGGTTTCTGCACGACGAGTCCGGTTCAAGCTGTGTCAAAAGAGGGCGAATGGCCCTGAACTCAGGCCTATCTCTACGCAAGCTACACTGAGGCCCCCCCTCATATTTCAGGGAATCTTCAGTGGTATCTGCAACCCGAAACCCTCTCTGCACTGTCAACCTTGTGTTCCCGATATTTGTTCAGTAAACTTCGAAAACCTACAAGTTCTTATCTTGATTTCGCACCACCACCCTCAACCTCCAATCCCTAAACTGTTAAACTCAAGTCTCGTAACCCAACATGAAACTTCACTCCAGTTGAGTCAGGCTGGAGGTTTGTAGCTTTCTGGGTTTCTGCGATCTTGTTTTACACGGGATTTGAAAGAACACTAGGGAGTAAATCCACAGCGCCGCACATCGAGAGTAATTATCATAGTAGTCCTTCCGCTTCTTATAATCACTATATTTGTATAATATGACCCTAATGCCCATATCTAAGCATTGTGACCCCTGTGACCCCATAACGCCGCACATCCGGAGGTGGTGCCCGTCGCTCCATGACCTCTTGGGCCTCAAAGCTGGGCCAGAAGGCCCGTGTTTTCTGGCCATTGGAGGGGGTTTGCGCTGTTTCTTATCATGATTGTTCAAGAACGGTTCAGGTTTTCCCCTAGGGTGTTCCCGAAGGACCTGCAGCCACAATGGAGGGCTTGGGGAATCAAAGGCCATTCACAGTACAAGCTTTGCCGCAACCTTTCCATCTCTTCCGTGCAAGATTTCCTACCTATAGTATCCATTGTAGTTCCTTTTTGGGGTTACCTTATAGGATCCTAGAATATAAAAGCGGTTAAACCAAAAAAAAAACTACAATGGAGACTACAGGTAGCCCCATGCCGCCGGCACTCCTAAGTTTTAACTTAACCCACCCAAAAGCTCCTGCTTTCTACAGAACTTGAATGATTATTTCTATACAGAGGAACACTGAAAAAGTAATTCTTCTAGGGTCCAAGAAAACGCCTAACCACAATGTAGGGGCGTTTATAATTCGAAGATTTTTTTGCGGGTTCCTCATTATAGTAAATTATAGTTTATAGTTATAGTGTAACATACCCCCGAACCCTATTCTAATTATTAAGGGCTGTGTATTAGTCATCAACTCCTGAGCCTCGTGCTTGTGTCAGGCGTCGCAGCTGAAATCCGTGACCAAGGTCGGGGGGGGCCCAGCTCGCCTCCTTGTTCTTAGGGACCCAAAAAGGTTCCTCAAAGGGAGCTATAAGGGTTCCTTTAAAGGGATGCATAGGGATTCCTTACAGGGATCAAGCATAGAGTTTTGGGGTTTAGGGTTTTGCGAAAAAGAACCATAAGCATAAGCATTTTATAGGGATATCCCTACCTTATTGGGCTTCATTATACGGGGATATATATGGGATATCCCTATCCTAATTTTTGCCTATGTGCTTTTCTGGGGCCCTATGTTCGAAGTTGTGAAAATGTCGCAGTTTCCGAAAACAGGGGTACCGCATTTTGTTGGGGTCCTTATAAGTAATGTGAGGATCCTGCTATTTAGGGTACTAGATGAGGGTCGCCTATATTCGGAAACTCCCATGTCAATGTAGGTGCCTTCAATATTACTTTTATACTATTTTGGATTTCTTTATCATAACTATAGTAATTATACTGGGCCCCCAAAGCCCTATTCTAATTATTAAGGCCCCTGTATTAGGTGATTGCGCCCGGTGTCACCATGTCTTTGCATTGGAGATGGGCACTTCGTGATCAGTTTGAAACGAAACCACAATCTCCGAAGCCCACAACGAAAGCAGAACATCCCAGAAGCCATGCAAGGCCCAATATACCTGTATAAATGTAAGATTCAGGGCTCAGGGCCTAAACCCTAAAACCCCAAACCCTAAGGGTCTAGGGCATAATACTTTAGAAGCTGCCCCCACCCTGTAATAGTGACTATAAAGATTATATTAGGGCCCTTTTGTATTCCTATTATACCACTATGACAGGGTGGGGGCAGCTTCTAAATAATACTCCGATAATCATGCATGCCGAGCCCCGATTCGATTTATTCAGGTCCCGCTGCTGCTAGCAACTTAAGAGCGTAAAGCACCACGCGAGATGCGTTTGACGGATTACTATAGGGGCCTCAATAATTTCCAATACTAGTTTGGAGGCTCCTTAGTCTTAGTATAGTATAAGGGGCCCCAAAACCCTACTCCAAGTATTAAGGCCCCTACTTTTCAGCCACCCTTACAGGAATCCTTATAGACCCCTTTAAAAGGAACAATTTCAACGAACACTATGGAAATTGCTGAGGCCCCTGTATTGCGTTTCGGGTTCAGGGATTCCGGGGGTTCGGACCTTCGGACAAAGGGTCCAAGTAAAGGTATGGTATATACTCTTGGGGCCCAAATATATACTATGAGACTACGATAATGATATTGAGACGCTTCGGCAGATCAGTCAAACCTGCCAGGGATTATACATTAAATGGTTACTTAATCTTAAAGGATTCTATAAGGGATCTATACAGTTTAGGGTTCTAAGGATCAGAAACAGCATAACACCTACTTACAGGATCATGGGACTTAGTCAGCAGGGTCATATAACTACAGGTACCATGCTTACTCTCTATACTGACGTCATCCAATGATCCAGTATACTCCAAGCCGGTAAACCCCTGAAACCGTAGAACCACTTTCTCAGTTGAAAGGAGGCCGTCCAGTCTACCAGGGAGGCGATCGCGAACGAGGCAGGGCCAGTACGACAGACAAGGGTTTCGGTCAGTGTTTGATCTATGTTCATGGATCCTGAACCGCGATGCTTGTTGGATACCTTCCCAGGCTCCCACAAGACAGAGGTAGTCTAAGCAAGAAAGGTGAAAATAGTGCCGTCTTTGATACTCGTGCTCGGTGTTGTACTGTATAGTCAAGCACGCCAAGAGGATCAGGGTACAGAGTAGGTTGATTGTCACTGTTCGATATCACATTATTGCTGGCTGTCATGGACTTACACTAACCACTTGGAGGATCGCGGGGCTTAATAAGTAGTTAGTAGCCTTACAGAGTTATATATATATATATATATATATGTATATATATATATATATATATAATGACCCCAAACAGGATCCCTTTTCAAGGAGCTTGTAATACACCAAACCCTAAACCGTAAACTATAACTCTTCTTATGACCTACCCAGACCTTCCAAAATCCCTTAATTCAGGAATATACCTTATAAGTCATGCTAGGGATCCTATTACCGTTTAAGACATATTCCTGAGTTAAGGATTTTGGAGGGTCTGGGTGCTTGCGAAGTCCCCCCTCCCAGTAAGGCCCCTGAGCCCCTGAACCTTCACTCTGCTCCTTCCCCAAAATGGGAGTTTCCGAAAATAGGGGTACCGAATTTTAGGGGTCCTTATAATTTGGATCCTGCTATTTGGGGTACTATATCAGGGTCCCCCCCATTTTTGGAAACTCCCAAATCCTACTTGGAGGGCCAGGGGTTATGAGTTAAAAGGGTTCCTTAAAGAGTTCTATAAGGGATCGATAAGGTTTAGGGTTCGAAGGATTGTGGGGCGTAGGAAGTCGTGTTAGAAGTGCCTTAGTTATGAGGCTATGATGATATAACTATCGTCACCTCGCTTCTAACCCTACTTGCTAAGTCACCAGATCCTTTAAGCTCTGAACCCCCGAAGAGCCCCCACGCTCTGAGCCCCTAAACCGCACGAGCCGATTTAAACTCTTACGAGAGACAGCAAAAAATATATAAGAGGACTGGGTGTAAGGATCCTTCTACCAAAGTTCAAACCATTCTACGTAAACGCTCCGCAGAATTCCCTAAACCAGTGCAGAACCCTAATTCCGCAAAGTAAGAACTCCGCAAACGTCTCTGTTACCCGGAAGGGTCCATGTGCCTATTTAGCATGGCCATTGGCCCTAAAGTTTAAAAGTACCTATACATAGGAACCTCTTCAAGAAATCGTCTGCTTTCTGCGGGAGGTTTTGGTCTTGGTGGGCTAAGGCTTGGGATCTTAGAACAAGGGTGCAGGAGGCTTGGAAAAGTGTCCATGTATGGACAGCCGGACCCTTACTTGGAGGGTCGAGGGACTTAGTAACTATGCAGGAGTTATAAGTGCACTAAATTAACAGGAATCCTACAGCCATTTCATGGCATCCAGGACTTGGTGCGATGCTATATGATGGGTGCACAGAGTATGGTCAGTGCAGACCCCTAAGGGCCAAAGTTCCACATCGAAGCTTTCTGGCGAAATGCGACCCGAACATCGAACATTTCTACATTGCTCTACTGTCTTCATGCACATCTGCGGTCTGCATGTTCTCTGCAAGTCACGAACAAGGTGTTCAGTGACTCACGGGTGCCCTTCTGCAAGGCTGGCACGTGAGTCGCAGGTGCCGGAGGATGATGAAGATGCGGCCCCGGCAGAGGGAGCTCAGGGGAGAGCGCGCCGATGGCGACGAGAATTTTGGAATGCGGAAAGGACTTGGGAGGGAACTGGGCCCAAACCAGGAGACATCAATGAGGTCGTTAGGCGTCATTTGCAACAACAGGAAATCCAACCGCTCGTAATCATCCAACACGGAATCTGCTGCTTAGTTCCGCGCGAGCTTGCCTGCTGTGTGCTGTCGCCAAACGGTGTGAGTTTTAGGCTGCTTCTTTGAGGGTTCGAAGGCCTTGTTATAGAAGGCTCAAGGGTCTCACGAAGGGTTTCTTTCCATCCATATAACCAGTTACACGAAGGCTTCGACGTTTCAGAAGACAAGTCCCCGCAGGCGCCCCTACGCTTAGGCTTGCGTGGGCTATTATAGGTCGAGACATCTCTGTGTAGGTAGCTTTCTCCATGCTGGGCCTGGATAGCGCTTAGAGGTGCGTGGCCCAGCGTAGGCTCTATATGGATAAGAACCGCCAATACACTGACAAAACACAGCTTGTGGCTGTGCACTAACTTTTTAAACTTTTATCAAGCCCCCCGACCCTCCAAGTAGGCTTCCTGAACCCCAAACCCAAACCTAAAACCCTTAGTCCTGAACCCTAAAACCCTATCCTAAACCCTAAATAAACAGCCCTTAAGCCTTAAAACCCTAAACCTTAAACCCCTAAACACCGAAACCTTCAACCCTCAAACCCTAAAGCCCGAAACCCCAAACCCTAAAACCCTAGACCCTAAAACCCTGTGTTTGTTACCAGGCCAACCTTGTGGCCCGAGACAATCATGTGAGAGTTTCCGAAAATAGGGGACCTTACATAGTACCTTAAATAGTAGGATCCTATTAAGGACCCCAGAATAAGGCACCCTAAACCCTAAGGCAGTTTCCTAAACCCTATGGATCCCTTATAGGAACCTTTCTAGGCGCACTTAAAGGCTCCCTTGAAAGGAACCCTGGATCCCTTGTACTAGGCCAAGCTTGTGGCGCGAGACATGGCCGACTTGAAGGATCGACGTCTGGGTTCTTGTTACTTCTATATGGGGGGTTGTCAAAATTAAGGTACCCTTCTGGGTGCCCTAAATCATAGGTGCCGTAAAAAAAAATAGGGACCCAAAAAGAGACCGTAATTTTGACAACCACCTACATCACACACATTGGCCCTAAGGTAGTCCATATGTAGGTATTTTAGGGCCCAAGTATATACTATATGGGTGCAGGGGCCCTTAGGGATTGGGATTTAGAAGCTCTTTTAGGGGCTCCCGTTGAGGGTTATTTTAAGGGTGCCTTTGAGGGCTTCCCACAGACCCCAAGACTCATCCCTTAACCCCAAGGGTCCAAGTACCTAATACTCATATACTCTCCAAAATCGTAACCTACATAACTACTATCCTAAAACCGAGTACCTAATGATTGGGTCCTCTGGGCCCTTGGGGTAACAAAACCCAGACGTTTCCAGCGCTGCCAGCTGCTACTTTGGGGCTTTGGGCTTGGTACTGTTGATGATATAAATCCTGCATTATCTTAAGAACCCTAAACTATGGGAGTTATGGTATATTCCTTCTTATGGGTAATGCAGGATTTATATCATCAACCGTAGGGTTCAGGATTTTGGGTTTCATGGAGAGGGCTTTGGGTTGAGGGTTTTAGGGTTTAGGGTTTGGGGTTTAGTAGAGGTTATTTATAAGGGCTTAGTAGAGTTTATGAGGGGTTTAGTAGGGCTTCATAGGGTTTAGTAGGGTTTAACAGGGTTTCTGCAGGTTTCGGTAGGGTTTTTCAGGGTTTGCTAGGGTTTACTCGAGCTTATTAGGGTGGGTTTATTAGGGTTTAGGGTTTAGAGAGGGTTTGCGATTCTATCAAACCTATCTGTTTAGAGTTACTGATCATGATTTCCGTCTTAGGGGTCACAAAAGAGGGATGTTCCCAGAGACTTCAATATCCCTTAATTAAGGAATATACCTTAAACTTTACTAGGATCCCTGATCTGATTTAAGGTATATTCCTTAATTCAGGGGTATTGGAGTCTCTGGGTTCCCAAACCCCTACATAGAGACCCCTTTAAGGCCTAAGTACCTACTATATGGGTCCATCGAGCCTTTGGGAACGGTATGTTATTTGGGGCCCAGGCCCTGAACCCTACCCAGAGAGCCCAGATACCCCTTAATTAAGGAATATGGCTTAAGTTATATAGGGGTTCATATTCTGATTTAAGCTATGTTCCTGAATTAAGGGGTATTGGGCTCTCTGGGTACCGGCCCTATCTTTATACCGCACAGAACCTACCGTATTGAGAACTTACATAGGGAAATCGGGATAAAGTACTCCCACAGGGTCCTAGGTACTGTTGTGGGGAATACTTCCCCAAATCATAATAGTAATTCCTAGTACAGAGACCCTACATTCTACTCTATAGGTACATAGGACCCTTTGGGCTAGGTTTCTTAGGGCCCCGGTAGGCTTGGGAAGGAGGCGCAGATGGTCCCACTATAGACGCGTGAATAAGTTCTGAATAAGTATGATTTACAATTCCTCCTTGAGGTTCCCTCTGATAACTATACTACAAGGTACCCCAAACCCTGTTTTGTTTGTTCAGACCCTATATTATGTAGTTGTACATTGATTTACGGCCGTCTTCAATGAGAACTGCTTCCTACAGCATGTGGTTACGATTGTGTGAACGTGACACATTCGCGGTCCTCGTGAAGGTTGTCGCCATTGAAGGCACAGATACAGGTTGGCAGTGCTGCTTCGGAGTTCACGAAACCTCCTAAACCCTAAACTCCCTAGACTCGACACCATGTGGGAGTTTCCAAAAATACAGAACCCTAATATAGTACCCTACGTAATAGGATCCATATTAGAAGGATCCCCAAAAGAGGTACCCGCCTAATTTTCGGAAACTCCCATGTCGATTAAGATCTGGTTGCACGAGTGCTTGAACTTGATGCTGCAAGATGTTCCTGCACAGGACGGCGTGCGAGAAGGTGTCCGCCTCACTGTGCAGGACGTGTTAGGGACCAAAAGAACACAGAAGCATAAGCATTTTATGATATCCCTACCTTCTTGGCCTTCCTTTTAAGGGGGTCTATATATGGGATATCCCCATCCTTGTTTTTGTTATTATGTGTTTTTGGGGGCCCTAACGTGCATGCCCCTTAGCCTCAGCCCTCGGCCCGAAACTGCGCAGAGACTCCTTAATTAAGGAACCTAGGGTTATAAGGTTCCTTTAAGGGATCTATAAGGGATCTATAGGGTTTAGGGGACTCCAATATCCCTGAATTAAGGAATATTCCTTAAATTATGGTGGGATCTTTAAGATGATTTAAGGAATATTCCCTAATTAAGGGGTCCCTGGGTTCAAGCCCTGCACTGTAAAGACTGCATGTAGAAAGGGCACTTGGGGGCTTTCAAGGAGGGCCTCATGACTTCGGAAGTGCGAAGTTTTCACCCTGATGCTTTGAGCTTAAACCCGCATATCCCGATATTTCTTAGTCGCTGCTTAGCATTTGGAGTTGCATAGGGCCTTCACAGCGTCGCGGTTGTGCTCATGAAAAGGACTCTACAAGGGACTCCACATTAAGAGAACTACTCATATCGCCTGAGCAATCTAAGCCTCTAAACCAAGAGCGGGCTTCCATCATACCCATAGACCCTACAAACCCTGGAATCAGAATCCAGACATACTATACTCTAATTCACCACCCTTTTCAAGCCACAAACTGCTGAACCCTGCTGCTACAGCGCCATATAGTGCACTAGCAATACAAGACCAACCAGAAGACCTTCGTAGGGATTGCAGGTGTAGCCTTTCACCCTAAACCCTAAATCCTAATCCAAGTTCGAGTTCCGGTTGATAGTCGCTTGCGCTGGAGCCTGGTCTATTCTGGCCGCTGGCCTCCTCTTCGTCCGAATGCCAGGCGGACGAAGAAGACGAAGCCCTGTTGCAGGAGGCCCTCCGCGTCGCGCTGGAGACCTTGAATCAGGAGCCTGCGGAGCAGGGCAGTGTCAGGGCAAAGCGGCGCCTTTTGGCGAAAGGCGGAGAGGAAGAAGATCGGGAAATCGACCCGGTGATTCCGGCAGAAGAGCTGCCGGCGCAAACGGTCCCCCACGCCCTCGTGGTCGGAGTTGGCCCGTCGGTAGGAACTGCTTTCCTCAATGACCAAAGAGGCGTGACGAAGGCTGGGATGCGCCTGGCACCGGAAGGTCGCAGAAAGCGGAACCGCATGACAGGGATGTGAAACAACGGACCTTCTTATTGGTTTTATGGTTTAGGGTTACGGGTTTATGGCTGTAAACTCAACTTTTCAGCTTTTGGGGTTCTTATAAGGTAGTCGATTCTCAAAGTTTCAACTTTTATTTCAGGGGGTTTCGGGCCAGCCAGCCTTACCTTCCAAGCCTAAACAATCAGATCTTTCTGATGCCAACCCGTGTCTGATAATCATGGCGGTAGACTACATTGCAGTCTCCCCTGAAGTCCAAGTATGAACGTACTACTGTTGATGATATAAATCCTTCAAATCCTACATCTCCCATAATGAGGAATATACCCTAAATTTCCAGAGTGCAGGCACTTATAATGTACTGCAGGGTTCATATCATCAAGTGTAGCCCAACCCTCACCCCTGGGGTGACCCCGACAGGATCCTACAACCATGCATCACCTGGGTTTGGAATACCTTAAAGCAAAAGCCAGCAAGTTGGAATATGATTATTAAACCCTTTATGGTAAATTATAAGGTATCCTACCCTGAAACCATATTCCAACTTTCTGGAGTTCCCTTTATTCTATAAGGGCTACTATAAAGGATCTATAAGGGTACTATAGTATAGGGGCCTTAATAATCAGAATAGGTTTTGGGGGGCATCTTATCTGGGCTTTGGAGTACCTACCATACTTGAAGAATTATTTTTGGTACCTGCTCCTGGCAGTATCAGGGAGACCCCTCAAAGGGGATTCTTCTGAACCCTACTTCTGGCTCGTTCAAAAGGGGCCTTATTGAGAGGGTCTATATCCCCACGGGTCCCCCTTAATCCTGACTCCTACATTAGCACATGAAAGTCTATACTTTCTTCTCCCTGGTCGCTCCAAAGTCCAGTTTAACAAGTTTCGGGGTTTAACTACTAGGCCACTATATATAGGTCCCCTAACCCCCATAGAGCCCTTATAGGAACTCTTCTAAAGGAATTCCCGTGATGAACTACTCAGGGAGCCCAAGACCCCTTAATTACAGTTGGGTACATGAACCCTTAGTTATAAGCACCCTAGCTGGGGTTATAAGTAGCTCCAGTCATATTTACCCTACTTATAACACTACTTACTAAGTCCACTGATCCTCCAAGTACTGCCTTCTGAAGGCTTTAGGGTTTAGGGTTTGAGGTCTTTAGCATTTAGGGGTGTGGGGCTGAAGGATTTAGGCGGCAGAGTTCAGTGTTTAAGGTCTTTAGAGTTTAGGGCATTATAAGGCTTAAGGGTGTGGCTGTAGAGCTTTTCGATTTCGGGCTTTAGGGCTTGAGAGTGTTGAGCTTGAGGGTTTAGGGCCAGGGCTTTTTATGGCTGAAGGCTTATGATTATGGAGGCACTGGCATCAGCCATTTAATCGGCTACGGTTTCGGTATTTCCTGTCGGCGACGGCTCTCTACACGTTGAGCGTCACATACCAGAAGGCGTATCTATACTTACATTCCCATGGGATGAGTTTATATTGTCTGTCTTTACATATTTGGTCTATCTTTTATCATTTGAGCTTGTTTAGGTAAAGTTGTTGCAATAAGGATCCAAATAGGGACCCGAATGTTGACAACCACCCGAATGTAGATTCTCACAGATTCGACCCAGTCGCAAGAGCCTACATGCGCGGCAAACTACATTCGCCAGGTCCTATCCTTTCATCCTCGGAACCGCCGAAGTGGATAAGCATTGCATGTACGAGTGCTACATTACACTGATGAGGAATAGGGGACCGCCCGCACCGAACAAACAAAGAATGTCAGAAGCTATTGAAGCCAAAACTTTCCATAGGGATACTACCGCAGATGTTTGTCTTTAACTCATTAGGTGCATCTGCCCTACATGTCATGCAGTGTTCCTCTACAAGGAATCCTATGTCGAAGTAGCTTCATTGCCAGTGTACGCCGTGAACCCTCTGAACCCTGAACCCGAAACTCTGAACCTTTGTAGCTGAGTGGATACACTTTACACTTTTTGGGTTAATACTACCCACTATAAAACTGAAAGTGCACGCTTTTGGGGGCTTATGAACTCAGCAACTAAGGTATATACTTTGGTCCCAATGTACCTACATAGGGAGTACTTTAAGGCCAAAGTATATACTAGTTGGGTACATGAAACTCTTAACCAATTACTATCAGGCGACTTAGTTTTAGGGATATAAGTAAGGCAACTATAGTTATATCTACTTGTAACCTTAACAAAGGTACTTATAACCCTACTTACTAAGTCCCATGATCCTTTAAGTAGGGCCATGAATCCAGGACACATCTTCCCTCCGGGAGCGGCTTCTTGCGTGCACTTGTTGGGTCCTTCATAAGGGAGTTCCCGAAAATTAGGGGGTACCTTGTTTGGGAGTCCTTATAACAAGGATCCTACGATTTAGGGTACTATACTAGGGTCCCCTATTTTCGGAAACTCCCATAGCAGGCAACTTCAGTCGTAGATGGTTGACGCTTAGGAAGGTTGCTGTTGGGTTTTAGGGTCACAGCTTTAGGGCTTGACCTCGAGTGTTCTAAGGCCCTGGAGCTTTGAGGTGTCCGGGGTGTAGGCTTTGTGACTTTTGCGATTTGGGGCAGGGCAGGCCCGTAGGAGGCCGAACACCCAGGATTGTCAGCTGGATGCAGTCTAAAACCTGCAGCCCTTCATGCTTGTCTCCCAGATTGTTTCATTCTTACCACCTGTATCGCCACGACTGTAGCTGGTGCTAGCGCTCATACGGCTAGTCCTGCTCCTGACGCATTAGCAACCAGTACTGCTGGGTTGTTGCTGGGACTGCTGAGATGCTTACAATAAGTTCTGTAATGCTATTGTGGTCACCCCACTTGCTACCACTTGCTCGTTCTTCTGCTGCTGCTGTTGCTACTGCTGCTGCTTCCACTACTACCACTACCACGACCACTACCACGACTACTACCACTACTACTACTACTACTACTACTACTACTACTACTACTACTACTACTACTACTACTACTCCTACTGCTACTACTACTGCTACTGCTACTACTACTACTACTGCTGCTACTACTACTACCACTACTACTACTACTACTACTACTACTACTACGACTACTACTACTACTGCTACTGCTACTGCTACTGCTACTGCGACTGCGACTGCTACTGCTACTGCTACTGCTACTGCTACTGCTACTGCTACTACTACTGCTGCTGCTGCTGCTGCTGCTGCTGCTGCTACTGCTGCTACTATTACCACTGCTACGACTACTGCCGCTAGGACGGCGAGGAGTAGCATTAATCACAATGGTTTTGATACTACTTCTTTAAGACACGAGCAATAAGTTCAAGCAGAAAATTGTAGCATGCCTATGAGCATGTCCGAAGATGTTTGACACCGCCGCAAGGCTCGGAAGGGACACTGACGCCTTGCGCAAGGCACCGCGGAGGGTTTAGATTTTTATGGTTTCCTTCTGCAAGCCCCGAGCCTTACCTAACCTCAGGGGATCATAGTACTTATTTAAATTAGGGTTATATACATGTAGTTACTTTACTCACAACCCTACTTACGAAGTCCAGTGATCCGGTAAGTAGTTCGTTCACCTGCATAGCCACCAGCACCGCAATGCGGAGATGTTTTTGCCGACGCTCAATCGTGGCTGACCTCAAGATTCTATGCCCAACTTAGTAGCTGAGTGGACACACTTTACACTTTTTGGGATAATATTACCCGCTACAAAACAAAAAGTGTACACTTTTGGGGCTTAAGAACTCAGCCACTAAGCCGAATCCTTTGCCACATTAGCACTAACTGCGAGGTCCTCCGGCGGAGGAGTGGGCGGGTGATTCCGTTGCGTTCCAGGGGATACTGTGAACGTAGAACATAATTACTTCAATATTATAGGCAGAACCACTCTACAAATGACAAAGGCCACAAAAACATTTCAGACAACAGCCACAGCATGAACATGCTTTACAAGATTTTTCAAAGGCAGCATTATGATGCAGCTCCCTGTGCTGATTCCACTGCCAGGCATTTGCACCACCAAGGCGCGGTGATGCGCCGGAGGAGGACACGGCTCTGAGGTGTAGCCCATACCTTCCCAACCCTTTTAATGAGGAGTATATGTGTGGTTGTTAAAATTAGGGTCCCTTTTGGGGTCCATATTATAGTACGGCGCCTAATATTTAGGGTACCCAAAAAGGGACCATAATTTTGACAACCACCCATATGCCTTAGTCTTAGATTACTCGGAGGATCATGGGACTTAGTAAGTATGGTCCCTTAAAGGGATCCTTATAGGGTTCCTTAAAGGGATCTATAGGAGTTCCATACAGGAGGATCATGGGACTTAGTAATTAGGGTTATAAGTAGCGAAGCTTTTTCACTAAGTCCCCTGATCCTCCAAGAATAGTGTGATCCCAAATATGGTTTAACCCTCGCGCTCTAAGGTATTAATTAAGGCTTTTGGGCCCAAAGACCATACTATATAAGGCTTTTGGGCTATTTTGATGCCCAGGGTAAGGCAATTATGTTCCTTGATTCACGGGTTTTGGAAGGTCTGGGAGGTCCCAGAGCTTTTCAGGCTTTTGGAATACTGGTCCAAAGCACGCTCCAGGAAGTTTGAACATAGATTCAGGATGACTATGGCGCAGTTTTGTAGTTGCTTTGCCTGATGGTTACCAGGACAGTGATGTTGCAGCTTGTTAGCTTCCACTGTTTAGGATGTCCTTAAGGGGGGGTGGTCCAAGGGGGGTAGGTAACCTAGTAATCCCCATTATTCCCCAATACTCCCTAAGCTTCCCTAAGGTTCCCCAAAGCTCCCTAGTACCCTCCCCCCTTGAACCACCCCCCCTTAAGGATCTTATAAACTGTGATGCATGACAGGTTGAGCGTTACCTGAACCCTTGACATCCCACCTTCTCAGGCTTCCTTATCATGATTTCCTTAGGGTTTAGGGTTTAGGGTTTAGGGTTTAGGGTTTAGGGTTTAGGGTTTCCTTCTATGGCAGTCCATGAAAAGAGAGGTTCTTTAGGGTCCACGTAAGGTTTAGGATGCAGTGTTTAGGGATGCGGACTCCAACTGCAGAAGTAGGGTCGTTGGAGCCCAATAAAAAGCTACTCTTTCTTATTCCTTGTGGCTCCGTACTAAGAAATAAGGTGATAGCCCTCTTCCTAATCATGAAGGCCGGCAAATGGTCAGCCGGCTTTTCGTGCAGTCTTGAGTGCCCGTACCGGAAGGTGGGATATCCTGTTGGTTTCTCTGTAACTACTTGTAGATTAGTTACGAAGTCCCCTGACCCGAAACCCAAATCCTGCCAGGTGACTTGGCAAGTAGGATTATGTATAAGGACGGTAACTATATAGTTACATCTGCTTATAACCCTATCTCAGGTACTCATAACTAAGTCCCAACGCCCTATAGAAACTTATAGAAACCCTTATAGACACCCTTTACACAGCCATGAACGGAACCTTCAAGTGGACCTCCTCATCCACGAAGAACCGCGCTATGAGGGCTCTTGAGAATAGGGTTTCAGGTTTCAGGCTTTTGGTAGGGTCCAAAGGGGTTGCTTTCAGAGTTTCGGAGTCCGGGTTCAGGGTTTTAGAGTTTAGGGTTTAGGGTTTAGGGTTTAGACGACTTCGAACTTCGTCATGAAATGGCGTACTATCAGGATCTTCATTGCAGTCCTTACTGCAGGAGCGTGGTTTATTCATCCGGCCTCTATATACATTGCCTCGTGGAAACCTTGGGGATAATTTGGGTACGGCCGCCGCTCAGTAATAGTTGAAAAAAGATTCATAATATAGTTATATTACGACCTTAGTAGTAGCCCTATTACAGACTCTTACTGTATGGGGGCAGTACCTAAGGGATAATAAAGGTTTGCATTCTCGCCGCTCAAACTGGTCGTCGACGACGAGGCCGCGCGTCTCGAGGCTCTGAACACTCAACTTGGATGGTCGGGGGACTTCGTAAGTAGTGATTTTATAGATTTGTCGTAAGTAATTCTCATAACTCCAACTAGGTTCCCTTTCACGGTACTCATAACTGTATAGCTCTACTTATTTACCTACTTTCTGCCCCCCCCCCCGACCCTCCAAGTATCTATCGATCCAGCATGAGATTTCGGGCGCCACCGGCAGGGCCATGCAGAGCAAACCTGTGCTGCTGGCCTTGCTCTGGATACCTAGGATCTCCAGTAGTACCCTTATTCCCTTTTTGTAGTCCTAGGTTCCTTATAAAGTTACCCAATACCAAAAAGAGAGGCCTTTTTATTCTTAGGTTACTGGGTATCCTAGTCTGGATACACTCCCAACGGGTCCTAGATACTCTTATGGTGGATTCTTCTACAAATCTTAATAGTAATTCCTAATTATGGGTAGTTGTCAAAATTATGGTCCCTTTTTGGGTACCCTAAACAATAGGTGCCGTATTATAATAAAGACCCAAAAAAGGGACCCTAATTTTGACAACCACCCATATAGAGCCCTGCATTCTACGATATAGGTACTTTGGACCCTTTCGGACTGAGTGGTGTCTGGGACCTCAAGACCAAACCCCAAACCTTGCGTGGCTACTGGGACCGAAAAGCCTATAAATCCTCAGTATATGGGGGCTTCCGAAAATGTGGGGTACCGTATTAGAGGGGTCCTTATAATAAGGATCCTACTATTTAAGGTACTATATTCGGGCCCCTAATTTTCGGAAACTCCCATGTGGACCCGACACCGAACCTGATCCCCTCGACCCTCAACCAAGTTTAAGATGTCGGAGTCTCGGCAAGGCCTGATGTCTGTCGCGCTTGCAGCCAAAAGCCTCAACCTTGGTCTCCAAAGCGTTTAGGGTTCAGGGTTTAGGGTGCAGCCAAGAGCCTCAACCTTGGTCTTTACCTGATACGACCCCAAACCCATAAATCCTTGAACAACACATGACATGCCATACGATACTTCTGTCCTAAACCCTAGTTTCGATTCTGCAGGATGCCGCTACGGATGTCGCCGGAGAAGGGCTTGCTACTCAGAGGTGTCTGAGGGGCCTTAGGGGCTCTAGGGTTTAGGGTTTAAGTGCTTGTGGGTTTATAGGGTTTACGGTTTCTGGCTTCAGTGCTTGTGGGTTATGGGGTTCAGGGTGTAGGTAGCTGGTCTTTAGGGTGTTCATTGGGTTCTGGGCCTAATGCCAAGTGTCCAAGTACCTAATACTCATATACTCTCGAAAATCCTAACCTACATAGCTACTATCCTAAAACCGAGTACCTAATCATTGGGTCCTTTGGACCCTTGGGGTAATGCCTCAGAGATCCGAGAGCATTAAGACTGTCTGGTTCTTAGTAGGGAATGGGGGAATGGGTTATTGGGACTACCAGAGAGCCCAATACCCCTTAATTAATCAATATAGCTTAAAATATATAGGGCTTCATATTCTGATTTAAGCTATATTCCTTAATTAAGGGGTATTGGGCTCTCTGGGTATTTGGGGGACCTTAAAGGACTATCATAGGGATCCATTCCCCCATTCCCTACTCAGCACCAGACAGATAAGACTCGCAAAGAGGTCTCACCTTCACTCCTCAATCAGTATGGTGGGGGTGCAGGTCCGTGTGGGTGCTATGCCTGAGCCTACTCTGTCAAGAGTTGTAACTGCGGAAGCAAAGCCGCCCAAACAAGCGAAAATAGACTGCAATCTATGCAGAGCACCTAAGGCGAGAACGCAACCCGCTAAACTCTGAAGCTCTAAGCCCACCTGCTTGTTCTCTACCCTAAGACAATAAAAGGATCTTCCGTTTCAGGGTTGCTAGCGCAGGGATTGGGCAGTTGCTGCAAGGCCATCTCAAAACTCAAGACCCGAATGTCTAAACCCCAGAAAGACAATGTAGCCTTTAAAGCCGTGACCCAGACCCCCGGGAGGATCCAAAAATAGATCTCTTCATGGGGGTTCCTATAAAGTACCCTTAGTAGTATTGGGCCTACCTGGAAACCCAGAGACGTACTAAACCAATTCCATTCCGTGGAGATTCTGATTGGGTGCTTGCCTAAACTAGAACCCCAATGATGCCTATAACCAGGACGACTAATAGAAGATTCCAGCAGGCACAGCCCTTCACCGAACTGAGCGCTTAGCTCTGGCACCGCGCCACTCGCGCAAAGATCAAGGTTGGCTCCCGCTTCCAACAGAAGCCTCACCACTTCAAGGTGGCCTTCTTCCCAGACCCCCGAAAAAATCCGAAAAGTAGATCCCTTAATGGGAATTCCTATAAAGTACCCTTAGTAGCACAGGGCCCAAATTAGGGGATCTACTTTCTGGATCCTCCCGGGGGTCTGGGTTGTGGCACCAGGTCGAAGTGTCCGCATGGTGCGCTCCTGAAACCATTCTGGTTAGGGCTGATTGTCCTCGGTCGCTGCCTCTGTGTGGCTTGGACCCTTGGGAGCACTCGGCACACTGATGTCCACGATTATTACCACATCCCCAGAGACTCCAAAACCCCTTAATCAAGGAATATACCTTAAATCATATAAGGGATCCTATTATGATTTAAGGTATATTCCTTAAACCATATTAGGGATCCAATTATAATTTAAGGTATATTCCTTAATTAAGGGGTTTTGGAGGCTCTGGGTGCCACATCTCTCAGACGCGACCATGACGATGCGGCCTTCAAAGTCCATTTCGATTCTACCTATAGTCTCCATTGTAGTTCCTTTTTGGGGTTACCTTATAGGATCCTTAATATATAATTGGTTAAACCAAAAAAGGAACTACAATGGAGACTACAGGTAGAGTCAAGGAGTTTAGGGTTGGTTGCGCAGGAACCCTAAAACCAGCCTTAAAAAGGAACCCTTAAGATATCGAGGTGAGTTATTTTTTAGCTGCACTGGAGAACAAAGATCGCACAAATGTCTGAGGTTTGGAAGGTTGCTGCTAAGGTTTATGCGAGTTATGGTTTAAGGCTTTAGGGTTCAACTTCACGACCTCTAGGGTTTAGAGTCCAGGGCTTTAGGGTTCATAAAGTCAAACGGGAAAAGGAGGGGCCCTTCAATAAGGACCCTTAGGTATATACCCTTAATACAGCTACTATATACCCATTATATAGCCCCATTATAGGGTAGGGGTCCTTATTAAGGGTCCCTCCTTTTCCCCTTTGATAAAATGAGGAATGGCTTGGGCCCACGCAGCTGGCCATGAAGTCTGAGTGCCCCAAATTAGGGGATCTACTTTCTAGATCCTCCAAACCCTAAGGCTCCATGTACCCTTAGAATATATACTTAGTCCTTAAAGTACCTATATAGGGACTCCTTTAAGGCTTAAGTATCTACTATAACGGTACATGGAGCCTTAGGGAAAGGGGGTCTGGGGAGCTGTGTAGCGAAATACCCAGAGAACATGTGCACACTGCATGGCTGACTTGCCGGATGCCATCCCTAAACCTTGGGTACGGCATTCACTCAGTATGATTTAAGCAACTAACCAGGGTTCTTTCGACAGCCACCGCCTGCTTACCCTAAGCCCTCAGCCCTAAACCCCAACGACAGCCTTCTTACCAATTCCCACATTCCACTTTGGCATTGGGAGTCTAGGTTTTCGCCGATGTTTAGGATAGCACTTTGATGTATTTTAGTACAGCTATTAATATACGTACAAATACAGAAAATAACACACTACCTTTATGGAGGCATATTGCTTAATTAAGGGGTTTCGGAGTCTCTGGATACCCTAAACCCTCTAGATCCCTTATAGTATAGGATCCCTTGAAGGAAGCCTACTTGGAGGATCAGGTGACTTAGTCAGCAGGGTTTTACTTCTGTTAACTATAGTTATTTCTACTTATAACCTTCATCGGGGTACTTATAACCCTACTTTCTCAGTCCCATGATCCGCTAAGTAGGTATTGTCCGTACCCAAACCCTAAACCCTAAACCGTCTAAGTTTCGGCTTTCCGAGGGGAGAGGTCCCCAGCTCCAGCGACGGCCCCGCCGCAAGCGCAGCGGGTCTGGACCCCCAGGGGTCCCACTTGGAAGATCAGGGGACTTGATAAGTAGGGTTCCTTCAAGGGATCCCTATATATAGGGCTCCTTAAAGGGATCTATAGGGTTTAGGGTTTAGGGTACTACTTGTGGGACTTCGTAAGTAGGGTTATAAGTAAGGCATCTCTAGTTATATCTACGTGTAACCTTAGTTAAGGTACTTATAACCCTACTGACTAAGTCCCATGATCCTCTAAGCAGGGTTTAGGGGTTTAGCCACTTAGGGTTCCTTTAAAGTGATCTTGGTCTACAAGGGTCCCTAGAGAGGTTTATAATAGAAATTAGTTAGGAGTTTAGGGTTTAGAGGTTAAGGAGGTTCGGGGTTTAGGATTTAGGTTTTAGGGCTTAGCTGCTTGGGTTTAGGGTTGAGCGGTTCTATAAGGGCTTTGTAATAAGGGTTCTATACGGGTTCTGCAAGGGATTTTATTGAGTTGCGTAGGGGTCCAAAACGACACAATGATTAGGTACCTGGGCTCGGGACAGTAGCTATGTAGCTTTGTTACTCGGACCCCTAGGGGATTAGCATAGGGGGCTTGACCATTAGAACAGGGTTGGTGTGAGTTCGAGGGTTCCCTAAGGCTTAACTCAGGTTTAAGGTTCAGGATTTCGGTTTCAGGGTTACTGAAGGGTTGCTTTGGGTGCGTTAAGGCTTTCTTGCCCCTAATGTAGGGTCCGGGTTTAGGGTTCCGGGGATTTACGGTTCAAGGTTTAGCAGTTTAGCATGTAGGTGAGTGGGCAAGTGCTTTTCCTTCCGAGGTATACTTAAAGGATCGTTGGACTTGGTACCTGGGGATATAGGTAGGCAAACTACAACTATATAACCTGAATTAAGGTACTTATAACTTGAGCTATGGGCTTCACGGTCACCGATTTGTGGATTTGAAGGTGTTTCGGTTCGCGGGTTTATGAGTACAAGGCAATCACAGTTTGAGGTACGGCGCGGCGAACGTAGCTCTAAGATAGAGGGCGCAGTCCTTTGCAACAGTTGTCCCGTATAGCCCCTGCATAGCAGTACCACAATATTCCGCCGAAGTCTTGTTCGAAAGGGCTACAATGTCATACGCGCTGTCGAAACCAGTGGCTAACGCGCTTGATGTGGCAGATGCGCATCTGTTCCTGGACTGCCGTGGGCCAAACTGTGGAGTCGCTAAGATCACTGGCACGATGATGCCGTGATGACCTTTATTCGTGGGCAGCAGGGTTCACTTCAGGGTTTAGGGTTTAGGGGTTTAGGGTTTAGGGTTTAGGGCGCAGCATGCGGCAGTGCCTCTACAACGGAGTGACATGCCCTTGGCAAGGGAGGCGGCTGGATCTGCTGGTGCCGCCAGAATCCTCATCCCACCACAACCATGTCCCCGAGCTTGAATCGCTATTGGGACTTCGGAGTGATGTGATTTGGAAGGGCTCTCGGGTTCATAGAGCTTCAGGGACCTTCCACAAATAGGCCCCATTAGGTCCTTATTATGGGCATAAAGGCCCCGAAGGGCCCCTGTGATACTTGGAGGGTCGGGAGACTTAGTAAGTAGGTAGTAAGTAGACTTATAAGTACCCTAAAAGGGACCCTAATTGGGGTTATGGTACTTATAAGTCCCTAAAATAACCAATTACTAAGTCCCCCGACCCTCCAAGTAGAGTATCGGGCATTGGGCTCTGAGTTTGGAGACAGAGGCGTTGGTGTTGCGGAATGTGTCGTCGAAGGATGGTGTTCGCATTCAGGGTTTTGGGGTTAGTGTTCGAGGAAGTCTAGGGCTTCGAGGGAAAATGTCCTATAGGAGCCAAGGCTTACAAAGGGTGTGCTTAAAGGATCATGGGACTTAGTAAGTAGGGTTATAAGTATGGTAGCTATAGTTATTTCTACTTTTAACCTTAATTAAGGTACTTATAACCCTACATGCTGACTCCCATGATCCTCCAAGTAGACCCTAAACCCTAAACCCTGTAGATCCCTTTAAAGGAGCCCCTGTAGATCCCTTTAAGGGAGCCCTTTAAAGGAGCCCTACTTACTGGGGGTCTAGGGCAAAAGAGTCTTGGGGCTTCGGGCTCAGACCATCGGGTTTCTAGCGAGCACCAGTCTGTTGGCCAAGTTTTCTTCAGTTTACGGCCTTTATTAGGGCTCCTTTAAAGGGGTCTATAAGGGTTACTATAAGGGATCTATAAGGGATACTAAAATCATGTAAAATTACAGGGGGGATGGACAATAAACACTTCAAGAGTTAGGGTGACTAATATGGGCGTTTCCGAAAATAGGGGACCCTAGTATAGTACCCTAAATAGTGGGATCCTTATTATGAGGACCCCAAAGAGTTACAGGAAACTCCAGAAAGTTGGAATATGGATTAATGGTAGGATCCCCTATAATTTATCTTAGAGGGGTTACGATAATGATGTTCCAACTTTCTGGCTTCTACTGTAGTCAAGGGCACTAAACTCTGAAGCCCGTGACCCAAACGGCTATAAACGCAAGAACACCTGAACCCTGAACTGTGCCGCCATAAGCCCAAAAGCCTGAAACCCTAAAGCCCTGAACCCTACACTCTGAAGCCCTAAGCCAAAACGCCCTGAATCCCTACCGCTAAACCCTAAACATAAAACCCTAAACCCTAAACCGCCTAGCCCAGGCCTTGTATGGGGCTGAATATTAGGATTCAAGGTAAATTCCTTGATTAAGGGTTCTCTGGGTAGCCTCAAAGGTCAAAGTAGTCAGAGAGTTCAAAGAAGCTTGCGTGAAGGGCCTGAAGGATTCGCAGGTTCCTAAGAAGGGTTCTAAAAGGGGTTCTACAAGGGTTAGGGGCTTCACTTCCCCAAAAGGTTCCAAAGTACGTCTATAGTCGAATGTAGGGTTTCTATAGTAGAAATTACCTTTCTGATTTGGGAAGGATCCCCCGTAACGATATCTAGGACCCTTTGGGTTCATTTAAACCCTTAACCCTAAACCCCTAAACCCTAAACCCTAAGCCCTAAACCCTAAACCCTAAACATTTAGGGCTTTGAGTTTAAGGTTCTGCGGCATGACATGAGGCTTCAAGATGCTACCCTACACCAGCTCCTACCCTAAACCTACCTATAGTCTCCATTGTAGTTAACCCCAACAAGGAACTACAATGGAGACTACAGGTACTTCTTGTAGGCTCTTATTATAAACCCGAATATGGAATTGATAGGGGCCTTGCAAAGAAGTTGGCTTTGGTAGGTTAAGGTCAACTCTAACCCCCAAGGACCATAAGCTCTAGCACGTCTCCAGGCCATGTGGAGCGGAGAAGAGCCCAACCTAATATTCTCCCATTGTAGTTCCTTTTTTGGATTCCCTTTTGGGATCCTAAAACATTATCTGAACCGACAAACGGATCTACAATGGAGACTAGGGTTAAGCTAGGTGGGTATACTTCTAGATGATTTACTTTGAACCCTACTTACTAAGTCTCCGGATCCTTTATGTAAGCCCTAAACCCTAAACCCTAAACCCCTAAACCCTAAAGCCTCTGTCTAGGCCATGAGGAGAAGAAGAACATCACCGACACCACCCGGGAGCTCTTCGGCAGCTTGGCCAAGGAATGGAAAAAGCGCCGGCGTAAGAGTTAATAGAGCGGGCGTAAATAATTACCAATACTATTTGAATAGGGTTCCTTAAAGGGGTCTATACAGTCTGCTGTAAGGGCTATTATAACGATGTAGTTTAAGGGCCGAAATTAAATGACTACCAATACTATTCTTGAGGGTTCCTTATGATACTTAAATTAAGTATCATAAGGAACCCTTAAGAATAGTATTGGTAATCATTTAATTTCGGCCCTATTAAAGTGTACTGGTTCCATTAAAGCCCCTAGATTAAAGAGCTTTGGGGGCCTTAAGGGCTTTAAGGCTTAAAGTTAAGGGTTAAGGGTCTTAAGAGTTTTGGGCTCGAGAAAGGCCCCTAAAGGGATCTACAAGGGTTAAGGGCTTTTTTTGGAGTATCAGGGGGGCAGCAGTAGTTTTGTTTTCTCGGGTTCGTAACCCTACTTTTTCATTCCCATGATCCTCCAAGTAGTAAGGCATGAACCGAAACCCACACCGCTATGCGAGAATGCCGAAGCCTGACATTGTGAGCACGAAACTGCTGAGGGAATTAGGCCAGATGGTGCAGGGTAGCGGAGGGCTTTGGTACTGCAATGGGTAGTTCAGGCACTAATCCCAGAACCCTAGTCTGGAAATGCTGTTTAGTAAGGCCTATCTAGTAGACCCGTAGCAGCCCTCACCTAAGAGACCCACATGATTAACATATGGGAGGGCAAGGGTCTGATCCCCTCAAACCTTAATTTGAGTTCATGATAAGCAACACACTTGCGGTCACCAAAAATAGGTATCTACATCAAACTGGCTTCATGATCAGGAATGTAGTTTAAATCACCAGAATATGGATATAGTGAAAACCATGATTCCCATATTATGGTAACTTAAACTAACCTCCTTCACAAGAACCCGGCAAACCCAGTTTACTTACAGACTCTTGAGTCTCATGCCCCGACGTATCCGACATGTGCTTCAACCCGAATCCACTTTCCACACTTTTTCCAAATCTTATGCAAAGCTTTCTGGTACTCCAAATACACCCTAACGTATAGACCCTCTATCCTGAGACCCTAAAAGCCTAGCACCCCTCTCCGGCACATCCGTGCTACGTTGTACTGCCTCTACAAGAACATCCGGAAACGACTCAGGATGTAGGGCTCAACCCAGAGACTCCAAAACCCCTTAATTAAGGAATATACCGTAAATCATATTGGGATCCCTTATATGATTTAAGGTATATTCCCTAATTAAGGGGTTTTGGAGGCTCTGGGAAGGGTTTTGGCTTAGGGCGGCGTTGGGGCCGATCTTTGTGCTCGTTACACTTTGCAGCCTTTGACCCGGGACTTTTGCGGCTGCAGGCAAAGTCGGCGGCTTCTTCCAGCGCCCTGCTCCGTGACTGCACGTGTTCTCTGATGCCTGTTTTCGGCCTTTGGAATGATTGGTCTTGCTTCTCGCCGCTTCTGTTACACTAGTTCTCTCTCTCTCTCTCTCTCACTCTCTCTCTCTCTCTCTCTCTCTCTCTCGCTCTCTATCTCTCACTCTTCCTCTCTCTCTCACTCTTCCTCTCACTCTTCCTCTCTCTCTCTCTCTCGCTCTCTCCATGTCTTTCTCACCCTGAGCCCCAAACCCTTGATCCCAAGCTCGGAGCCATGTCCTGGAAGGGTCAAGGGTTAGGGTTTAGTAACTGCAAGTACATGCTAAACCCTACACGGTCCGGTCCCTATCCAAAGAAAGCGAAACCCCACCTTCGTGGTTTAGGGTTTAGGGGTTTAGGGTTTAGGGTTTAGGGGTTTAGGGGTTTAGGGTTTAGGGTTTAGGGGTTTAGGGTTTAGGGGTTTAGGGGTTTAGGGTTTAGGGGTTTAGGGTTTAGGGTTTAGGGTTATTTTGGTCTCGTGCTCGGCGTATTTGCCCTTCTAAATGACGAGCTCGCAACGCAAGCCCTGGCAAAGCATACTCGCAGTCATGTACGAGAGGAGGCCGTGGATCAAGAACGCATAGAAAGCGCAGAAAACCCTAAACGCCTAAACCCCAAAGCACTCAGGAGGACTCCCATCTCAAAGAGAAGGTCGAGGACAGATCACAGAGTTTTTTGGATAAATGCAGGAACCTGATCAAGAAACCCTGGCCCTAAAACCCCAATATTGTTACTAGGATTCGTATAAACAGCCCTTACACAGAACCAGACTTTCTTGGTCAGGTTCCTACATTACAGGGTGTGTGGTGATATAAGGCTCCGAACCAACAGTGGTGCTGTATATTGGTGCCCCGTATTGAGTTTCCACTGTAAAGTCCTTGATTCAGAGCATACATAACCTAGAGGCTCCATATATACTACCATTAGGTCCGAAACGACCATTCCCTACAATGGTTTTAGGGACTTAATGTAGTTGTTTTGTTTATGGAGCCCCTAGGACATAGGGGCTTCAGGGTATACCTTAAACCCTAAGCCCCAAACCCTAAGCCCCTAAACCCTAAGCCCTGAACCTTAACCCCTGAACCCAAAACTCTAAACCCTAAACCCATCAACCCTAAACCCCTAAACCCTAAACCCCTCAACCCTAAACCCCTAAGCCCCTAAACCCTAAACTCTAAACAGCCAGGTTCAGGGTATACGCTCTAGGGGAGACCGGAACCACAACCAAAAACCTCGGCAGGTACTTGGAGGGTCGGGGGACGTAGTAAGTAGGGTCCCTTTAGGGGCTCCTTGAAGGGTTCCATAAGTAATAAGGGTTCTATAGGGGTTTAGGGTTTAGGGGTGACTTGGTAAGTAGTCACTTTTTGGAATGATAAGCCCAGTTAGGACCCCTCTGAGGGAACTTATAACTCTACTTATTACCTACTTACTAAGCCCCCCACCCCTCATGAAGAAATCCCATGATTCAAGGCCTTGTTATTTATCATTCAGAATATGTTCCCTATTAAGCGAGGTGGATTTGCTAAGCAGGGGTCTGTAAAGATTGTTTCCTGAACACACCAACACCGAGTGTTTTGGTAGTGCCCATGTCAATTTCCATGCCACGGTTTCTGCGAGGATCCAACAATGAACCGCCCTACCCAGAGACTCCAAAACCCCTTAATTAAGGAATATACCTTAAATTATAATAGGATCCCTTATATGATTTAAGGTATCTTCCCTAATTAAGGGGTTTTGGAGGCTCTGGGTAAGGCTCCATGTGCCTGTAAAGCATAACCTCAAGAGGATCCTTTGTAGGTACTGCCTAAGCATATGGGTGGTTGTCAAACGTTAGGTCCAATTTCGTATGACAACAGGGACCCAGGGACCCAAAAAAGGACCATAACTTTGATAACCTCCGATAGGTTTTATGGGTACATGGAGACTTGTATAAGTACCTTAAGTAAGGGTATAAGTAGATATAACTTAAGTATAGCTACCTTACTTGTGACCCTACTTATTACGTCCCCCGATCCTCCAAGTATACTCTGAATCATTGACCTGTAGTTCCAGACCCGAAGGATACAGGGCAACCAAGTTATCGTGTTTTACAACTTCTACGGGGACGCATGCCAAGCTCAATCCCCGGGAAGGGTCGCAGTGCAAAAAGGTGGGATTTCTGGCTTCGCTTGTGCGGGGTTTAAAGAATTATTTGGATATGTGTTGGACACGCATTAGGGGAGTGGTAGGGTTCAGGACTTTTGAGGTTATGGCTCATCAATTCGAGTTTCTGTGTTTTTCATCTCACGGCACTGCCGCCGAGGACATCAAAGCAGGCGGGAAGAAGGCACGATCCGCACCCTCTGCTAGACTTGTTCCCCAAATATCCATAAAACTAATAACATGCCAGTAGCCAGTAACAGTAGCAGCAAGCAGTAATCATGCCATAGACTGTTGCAATACACATTATTGCTTGTCGCTGTTCTCAATCATTGTAGCTCGTTTGTTGATTTGCACATCCTGTGGCCAAAGCATGGAACCCTAGAACTTCGCAGCTGAGGTCCTCGTACTCATGAGCCCTGTGAGGCCAAAAAGCTTTAATTACTGTAACCACTGAATCTGCAACCGCAGTTATAGACTATAAGTGTAAGTAAACGAGTTCAAGTTTGGATTGGGACCGCCAGTCTGGCTTCTGGCAAGGCAGCAGAAGACGGCAATTGGGCCCAGCTGTGTCTGCGATAAGGTAAAAGGGCTTGGCTAGGGTACCCGAGGCATCCATTCCTACATGTGCAGATGACAATGTACAGGGCTAGCAGGAGGGGCTGCGCATGACTCATAACGGACGATGGTTGTTCCACAAGCTCCTATGCATTCTGTCGTTGCGGCTGTCCATGTGCGCATCAAGCTTTCTGTTATAGGTGTACATGGTTTGCCCAGATATGTAGCGGATGTTCGGTGGCCACGTGCATACAACATGCAGTCTCGAAACAGGTACCCCCCCCCCCCCCCGAACCCTTGCACGGAAATTTCGCTTAAATCCTATAAACTCTTAACCTAGGATCTCCAGTAGTACCCTTATTCCCTTTTGTAGTCCTAGGTTCCTTATAAAGCTACCCAATACCAAAAAGAGAGGCCTTTTTTTTCTTAGGTTACTGGGTATCCTAGTCGAGATTTCTGAGAGACTGAGAGAGCCATGCCGGCGCTGGCTGTGGCACTGATAAGTGGCAAGAGCGTGGTGGAGTTCTTTGGCGGCAGTTGTGCTCTCTCCTTGTCTTACATGAGCCTTCTTCTATAATTATGTAGCTGGTCCCGAAAAATCCCATATTCGGGGTTCATATTGGCACTTTATGAAGACGCGGGTGTTTGCGCTTCCACCTTTTTTCTGATTAAGTACAGACAGGGCGCAACTGCCAGTTGACTATATTTTGTCTTGAAGCACCCGGGTTGCTCTTTTCAGGCGACGGTTTGTGGCTTGAATGTATAGGGTTCAGGGTTGAGGGTTTAAGGCACAGGGTTTGGGGTTTGAAGGTGCAGGGTTTAGGTTTGGAGGTGCAGGGTTGGTGGTTCAGTGTTTACCTATAGTCCACAATGTCGTTTCTTTTTTGGGTTCCCTGTTGGGATCCTCAATACAAAACTGGTTGAACCAAAAGCAGGAACTTCAATGGACCCTATAGCCCTAAGGCTCCATGTACCGATATAGTAGATACTTAAGCCTTAAAGGGCTCCCTATATATGTACTTTAAGGACTAAGTATATACTATAAGTGTACATGGAGCCTTAGGGTAGGTAGGGTTCAGGTGTGCTTTACGTTGCTACGCTTCTGCAATTCCTTCCCCTCGAGCTGCCATCTGAACTTCTACCTGTCAGTGAGGATAGGGTTTTAGGGTTAGCTGGGGTCCTCATCCGTTTAGGGTTTCGGAAAGGGTTTCAGGGGTTAGGGTCCTCATCCATCACTACACCCATGCCCTTGTCGTAGAGAACAGTCCTTGAATCCTATCCTGAACCCCGAACCCCCCCAAAAAACAAATCTGGCGCCCGAACCCAATAAATCCACACCTTAAGCCCTCATGACCCTGAACCCCAAAAAGCCTAGACGAGTTTACGGACACCCTAAACCTACACCCTAGAACCTGAATCCCAAACAAAGCCATCCAATCATGAGCTTTCGGAGGGCTATCCCCATTTTTTGGCTCCATAAAGAGAGGGTTAATACCCGATCTTGTGACAGGCCCATGCAGTGTTCAGCCCGACAGACCCGAAACTTTACACACAAAACCATATATATATATATATATATAAATAAATAAATATATATATATATATATATTAATATCTGAACACACAAATCCTAAACCGTATAATCGAAACAGAACCCAAACTTTGGACCATAGGGAGTATATATATATATATATATAGAGAGAGAGAGAGAGAGAGAGAGAGAGAGACAGAGAGTGTGTGTGTCGACTTGACTTTACACAAGAAACTATCTACTGTGTAATCTGCCGTCTTATGCTGTCTACTATATATTGTAACCTACCGGCTGTTTCCTGTATACACCGAAATATAGTAGATCCCTAAGGGTCCATGCGCCCAAATAGTAGACGTTTTGGCCCCAAAGTACCTATTTAGGGACTACTGTAAGGGCGATGTAAAAGAAGCGATTTATTGGCTTTGGTGCATGCAGTCAAAGGGGAAAAGGAGGGACCCTTAATGGGGACCCCTACCCTATAATGGGCTTTATAATGGGTATATAATTGCGATATTAAGGGTATATACCTAGGGGTCCTTATGAAGGATCCCTCCTTTTACCCTTGGATTCAGGGGTTTCAGAGCCCAGTTTTGGGCAGCGGGATCGAACACCGGCCGAGGTGCGACGACTTCCAAGGCCATCAGGGTTTAGGGGTTTGGCTTGAGGGTTTATAGGGTTTAAGGGTTTGGCTTGAGGGTTTAGGGTTTAAGGGTTTGGCTTGACGGTTTAGGGTTTAAAGGTTTGGCTTGAGGGTTTAGGGAAAAGGGCCTAGGCTTTAGGGTTGGGATTTGGGGTTGAGTAAGGGTTGTGCCTTAGGGTTTAGGGTATAGGGCTTGGGCTTTAGGGTGGAGGGTTCAGGCTTTAGGGATAGAGTTTAAGGACTAAGCATGCGCATGATCACAGCTGCTGCTATGGTGTGGGGTTCCTGATCGTCCTAAGCTCGAAGTGAGCTAATACAGGGGCCTAAATATTTACCTCTACTATTGTTGGGGGTTCCTTTTTCTAGTTATATAGTACAACATACCCGCAAAACCCTATTCTAATTATTAAGGGCTCTATACTAAATCGTTACAGTATAGTAACCCTTATAGTAGTCCTTATAGACCCCTTTAAAAGGAAACCTTTAAAGGAGCACTATTCTAATTATTAAGGCCCCTACAGTGTTTTTCGAGCCTCCGTCGGATCTTGTCTGCTTCGGGGTTTAATTAAGGTTTAGGGTTTAGGGTCTAGGGTTTAGGGTTTAGGGGGGGAGCATTACCGACAACGAGTTTGCGCAGAGTTTAGAAGCTGCCCCCACCCTGTAATAGTGGTACAGTAGGAATATAATAGTGCCCTAATATAATCCTTATAGTTACTATTACAGGGTGGGGGCAGCTTCTAACGCAGAGTGCTGTTTGACTAGATTATGTGCGCGAAAGTCAGGACTTCTGCATTGCTCCCAAACGCGAGACCCTCAACCCTCAAGCCATCTCAACTCGAAGCCACACCGCAAGTCCGCACTTGATTGCTGGGGTGTTCGGTTGTCATAATCCCACAGCCGCAAGCATGCACAGCAACTTGATATAGTATGTATAGATGTATATGTATGTATGTATATATATATATATGTATATATACATCTGTATATACTACAAAGCTAGATGAACTCTTACGAGACTACTCGAGGTTGCAACTGGGCCACCAGAAGTACCCTCATGCCGCTTCTATGTTGTGCTTCCTTGTTTATCTCGAAAATTAGGAATGGTACCATTATCGGTAACGGGGGTTCTAGGGAACCTAGTATATATCCGATACAAGAACATCGCACATGTGTTGGATGTAGCATCCGGACGGAGTTTAGACCCCAACTGCCCCCAACGGAGCCCGAAATTTTGACTATTCAAGGTTCTGAGGTTGCAGTGATTGGTACCTTGAATTCGGTCCTGGTTCTGGTTCACCCGGAAAGTCTGAAAGGTAATGGTGCTGAGTTGCGTGAACTCGCCGCCCAAGAGCTGCGGGTTTCGCCAGTGAGGGTGAAGCTCTTATCAGGCGGGGTGTTTACTTCGGGGCCAGGGTTACTGCAAGAGTTCGAGAATTTGGAGTCTTGTGATTTCTTGGTCTCGGGCACAGGGCCTGCATCATGAAAGCATTGCTTAATTGGGGCTTCCTATTGTGTTTGTTCTGCCGCCCACCGCCCCCCTCCAAGAAAAACTCTTTCCGAAAATAGGGGACCTTAATATAGTACCCTAAAGAGTAGGATCCGCATTGTAAGGACCCCAACATAAGGTACCCCTGATTTGCGGCAAAACCCCATATAACCGTCCTCAACAACGGACATACAGTAGAAGCCAGAAAGTTGGAATATCATTATCGTAACCCCTTTAAGGTAAATTATAGGGCATCCTACCATTAATCCATCTTCCAACTTTCTGGCTTTTCCCTTAAACCCCAAATCCCGCCAAGGCCCCCGTAAACCCTTGAGCCCCAAGCTCCTAATCCCCAGAGCCGAAGCCCAAGAGCCTTCAACCCGAGGATGCCCAGTAGTACCTTTATTCCCTTTTTGTAGTCCTAGGTTCCTTATAAGGTTACCCAATACCAAAAAGAGAGGCCTTTTCATTCTTAGGTTACTGGGTATCCTTCAACCCTGAAGCCCTTAACTAGGTAGGGCTTTGGGGCATTTTATATGTTCCCTTCTCGGGCTTAAGAGGATCTTAGTTACCAATATGTTTCACAGGCTTTAAAAGCCCCACCCAGGAATAAAGAGACCCCCAAAGAAGTACATAAGCAAAAATAAGGATAGGGATATCCCATATAACCCCCCCTTATGATGAAGCCCGAAAAGGTAGGGACATCCTCACAAGATGCTTATGCTTATGTACTTTTTGTGGGTCCCTATTAAAGTGTTGGGATGGCAGCCCTTATTAGTAGAAAAGCCCTTCTCTTAGAAATGCTACCCCTTAGTTAGAGGATCATGGGACTTTATAAGTGTTACCAAGAGGGTCCATATATACTCCTATTATGGAATTAGGGTCGCAAAACCACAATAGGCATGGTCTTTTGAGATCTAATTCCATAATGGTGGTATACATGGACCCTCTGGGTTAGGTTTAAGAAAGAGT